AATTTGAAGCAATGGGATTGCTTTTGGATGTGTGTATTGGGCAATGTAAATGAGAAATAAGCAGGTAAAAATAAGACGTTGAGGGTGTTTCACCGGATCATGTTAGAAAAATACTACTGCCGACAATTTTTCTCGTGATAATTTCAGCAACATTACCCTGGGTACCGAACTCAGATTTTTCATGCGATTTTGGTTACGAGAAGGAAAGAATTTTTTCATTTTGTGGATCTATCTCTGTTGCTTGTGGTGGTGGCAAGCAGATAGTTGTTGGATTTTTATTCACGTTTCATGTTCAATGTAGATTTTTACGCCAATTTTTTCGCAATTTTTCTACTATTTCAGTGTACTGGAAGCTAAATGCCTTATTGCCATGTTTTATTTCGCGCTGTATTTATTTATGATTAGTTGTATTGAGTATCAACACCGGTATCGTGAGATTGTTGTTGTTGATGTTGTTAAATTGCTATACTTGTTTGGTTTTTGTTGGATACAGTGGTTGGATGTGATGAGCAATACCGATTTACCGGGGCAAGTGTAATTCGTGATGTTATTGTTTTTACTTCAATGTTTTAATTGATTTTTATTTATATTATTTTGTGATGAATTGCTGTTGGTTGTTGGTGGTGGCTGTGATATTTTGGCCTGTGGAGTGGTTGTTTTATTATTGTTGCTTTTAGGGAATGGCGTTTGCTTTCAACTGCTGTTGTTGGGATTGTTTTCTATTGTTGGTGATTTGTGTATACAGCCAGTTAGTGGGATGGCCAAATTAATAGCAATTTAGGAGCTAAATTTGGTGGAATTGTGGCTGGCTGGACGGGGTTGTAGACGGCTAAATTGCGATGCTTTTTCAACTTTGTTCGGTTGTTTTATTGTTGAAACCGGATTCTCGCCGTTGTTGGTCGCTTCGTGACTTTGTAACGACCTGATGCAGCCATAAATGGGTGCCCATTGTACTATATTTTGTGGTTAGGTTAGGTTAGGCGAAGAAGAAGTTAGGGCGAAGTAGGTTAAGGTTAGGCTAAGTAGAAGAAGAAGCAGCGAAGCAGGGTTAGGAAGCGAAGAAGTTAGGTTGCTGTTTAGCTAGGTTGTAAGTTAGGTTAGGTTAGGTTGGTTAGGTTGGTTAGGTTAGGTTGCCAGGTTAGGTTAGGTTAGGTTAGGTTAGGTTAAGAAGAAGAAGCGGAAGCTAGGTTGAAGGTTGGTTAGGAAGAAGGGCCGGGTTGAAGTTAGGTTAGGTTAGGTTGGTTAGGTTGGTTAGGTTAGGCTAGGTTGGTTAGGTTGAAGTTAGGTTGAAGTTGTGTTGAAGTTGTGTTAGGCCAGGGTTAGGGTTAGAAGCCAGGGCAGGTTAGGCTGGTTAGGTTGTGTTAGGCTGGGTTAGGTTAGGCCAGGTTAGGTTAGGCTAGGTTAGGTTAGGTTTAGGTTAGGTTAGGTTAGTTAGGTTAGGGTTAGGTTGTTGTGTTGTGTTAGGTTAGGGTTGGTTAAAGGGTTAGGTTAGGTTAGGTTAGGTTAGGTTAGTTGGTTAGGTTAGTTAGCTGCTAGGGTTAGGTTAGGTTGGTTAGGTTAGGTTAGGTTAGGTTAGGTTAGGTTAGGTTCAGGTTAGGTTAGGTTAGGTTAGGTTAGGTTAGGCGAAGAGCAGTTTAGGTTGAAGTAGGGTTAGGTTGGTTAGGGTTAGGTTAGGTTAGGTTAGGTTAGGTTAGGTTGTGTTAGGTTAGGGTTAGGCCGCTAGGTTAGGTTAGGTTAGGTTAGGTTAGGTTAGGTTGGTTAGGTTAGAAGCAAGAAGCGAAGTTAGGGTTAGGTTAGGTTAGGTTGTAAGTTAGGGAAGAAGAAATAGGGTTAGGTTAGTTAGTTAGGTTAGGTTAGGTTAGGTTGAAGTTAGCTGGTTAGGTTAGGTTAGTTAGGCTAGGTTAGGTTAGGTTAGGTTAGGTTAGGTTAGGTTAGGTTAGGTTAGAAGAAGTTAGGTTAGGTTGGTTAGGTTAGGTTGGCTAGGTTGGTTAGGTTAGGCTAGGTTAGGTTAGGTTAGGGTTAGGTTAAAGCCGGTTAGGTTAGGTTAGGCTGGTTAGGTTAGGTTAGGTTAATAGGTTAGCCGGCTAGGCTAGGTTGTGTTGTGTTGTAGCCAGCTAGGTTGTGCCAGGGTTAGGTTAGTTAGGTTAGGTTAGGCTAGGTTAGGTTGTGTTAGGTTAGGTTGTTAGGTTAGGTTAGGTTAGGTTATTAGGTTAGGTTATTGTGTTAGGCTAGGTTAGGTTAGGGCCCGGTTGTAATAGGTTAGGTTAGGCGAGTTAGGTTAGGTCAGTTAGGCTGGTTATAAGCTAGGCTGGTTAGGCTAGGTTAGGGCTAGGTTAGGTTAGGTTGTTAGGTTGGTTGAAGTTAGGTTAGGTTAGGTTATAGGTTAGGTTAGGGCTGGTTAGGTTAGGTTAGGTTAGGTTGTGTTAGGTTAGGTTAGTTAGGTTAGGTTAGGTTTGGTGTTAGGCCAGGTTAGGTTGGTTAGGTTAGGGTTGAAGGTTAGGTTGTGTTTAGGGTTGGTTAGGTTAGGTTGAAGCCAGTCAGGGTTAGGTTAGGTTGAAGGTTAGGCTAGGGCTGTTGTGTTGTGTTAGGTTGTGGGTTAGGGTTAGGTTGTAAGGTTAGGTTGTTAGGGTTAGGGTTAGGTTAGGGTTAGGTTAGGTTGGGTTAGGGTTAGGTTGGTTAGGTTAGGTTGAAGTTAGGTTAGGTTAGGTTAGGTTAGGTTAGGTTAGTTAGGTTAGGAAGGAAGAAGTTGAAATAAAGTTAGGTTAGGTTAGGTTAGAAGCCAGTTTAGTATTACAATAAGTTAAAAATATTAGAAAAAAATATAAATAAGCGATCGGGGAAAAATTGAATCCAATAAGGTAGATTAGGTAAGGAGAAATACATGTTATTTTTAATTTATTGGTAAAATAATCCATATTTTATCTTAGAAAAAATGAATAAAATAACAAAGAAAAGAAGAATTAATGACGAAAACCGAGAATTTAATTTAAAATGGACTTTTGACTACTTTTTCATTAATAATAATAATAATAATAAAGCACTGTGCTTAATTTGTAACGAAGCTATAACCATATTCAAAGAATTTAATTTGAATCGCCACTACGACGCGAAACACAAAAGTGAATATGATAAATATGAATCTCAATTCAGACAAAATAAAATTGATTCTTTACAAAAATCATTAGAAGCACAACAAAACGTTTTTAAAAAATGTAAGGATCAAAGTTCAGCATTGGTCAAAACGTTCTTACATATTTCGAAATTAATTGCTGAACATAACAAACCATTTATGGATGGAGAATAAATTAAAAAATGTATTTTGGCTGCTGTTAACGAAATTCGTCCGGAAAAAAGTAAAAAATTTGAAGATATTAGTTTGTCTGCACGTACAGTAGTTCGACGTATTGAAAATATATCAACTAATATGTTTAATAAATTAAAAAAAATTCTTCACAATTTGAGTATTTTTCACTAGCACTTGATGAAAGCAACGATATAACTAGCACCACTCAATTAATGATTTTTAACAATAATTATAGCATCAAAACAATAATAATGAGCCCTACAATAATCACTCAATGGTGTGTTTATATACTCAGTCAGAAGACATGTCATAGTTGAAAATACAATAACATAGATTTGATCATTAGCTGTAATTGTTTCTTTCCAACACTCCCCTTCAATTGCACATGATATGACCAATAAGATTGTCGTGTTTCGGAGCTGTTAATGGCTTGGTCAAAACGTCTGCTAGCTGATCCTCGGAGTTGATCCATTTGATAATAATATTTCCATTTTCAACTTCGCTTCTGATCATATGATATTTAATAGAAATGTGACGTAATTTATGTGAGATCGACGAGCCATAAATTTGATAAATAGACGATTTGTTGTCACAATAAAGAACTAGTGTTTCAACCGATATGCCCAATTATTATTATACATTTGTAAAGTAAAATATAAGTAAAGAAACATAACCAGTAACGATAACGATTACATACCAAAATGAAAAAGGTACTACAAATATCAGAAATGCATAATGTAGATCCATAAGTGTCAGAACGAAAACCAAACTTCAACTATTTTATTATCATATATATTCAATACAAATAATCATATATAAATTTACAATAAACTTGAATAAGCATAGAACACTAAAGTTCAATAATATAACCAAGAAAAATACTAATTATGTTTTTCTATTAACAATAAGAAAAACCAATCCAATCGTCAACAGGTGAATATATGCTTCAATAATAAAACAAGTGAAAAATGACAACGAAAAACAGTGGAGATAAAAGCTTACCCAAATAATTTCAAATAGGTAAAGTAGTTGACAATGTTTCTTCACATAGAAATATGGCGCACGAGATTTCAAAATTTATAAATCGTAAACAATCCATTATCTGTTAAAATAATGAACTTGATTCACCCAACGAGTTATGTTTTTACAACACATATAAAACTCATGCTTCATCGATAATATTTGAAGTAGTGTTCTTATTGTTATACACGAACACACACCATCATCATACATCACCATTCGTTTGTTCTTTTTCTATTTATATCATTTTCTATGTGCTCTCTCTGTTTTTTTCCATTTATGTTTACATGTATTATTTTCGGCTAAATTAATTAAACGACATTATTAAATAATTTCAACATTATCATCCACAAGTCACATTTTAAAAAATCAAAGACACAGATCATAATTCAATACAGATCGCGGCAAATGGCCAACCAACAAAACACAATACAAAACAATGGCATTAAGTTCATAGCAAAATAATTTGGAATCACAAAAACAATAAAGTAAACAATTTGTGTGTGATGACTATTGTGACACAAGTGTACATAGTAAAAATAGTGAAAACATATGATAATATAAACAATATAAACAATTTACTAATCTCACATTTAGATCTATTGCAACTCTCAATCACATTTGAATCTCACTTATAATTGAAACTGAAATATCTCTCTCACTTCAAAATCGCTCAAATGAAAATGACACCTACTATGCAGTTGTCCGGGAACGTCGAGTCGATCAAGTTGATCAGAGATGACAATGTTAAATGTCGAGTCGATAGCTGAGTTGAATTGACGATATGAAGATGGATTCTAGATGGACACATAACACAACACAAAACACAAATAAAATAATCAACAAACAGAAATCAATTTGACACTTGTTGATACATTGTCTGATGAATATCAAGTTGATAGCAAACCACATATGGAATTAGAGACGAGTTGAATCAAAAAAAACTTCACTAACACCAATAAATCACTGCACAGCACTATGCACAACACGAAATTCTGTTGAAAAAAAAAATTATTTCACATCTTCAGCATTATAATTAACCACTTACCACTAATTGATAAAGATGACACCAATGAAACACTTCACAAACACAAATTAATCACAGCACTGAATCACAACACGAAATTCTGCTTGAAAGAAAAAATTAATCATTATTTATCAAAAGCAAACCAATCACTTACCATTATGAAACTTGTTGCGTCAATTCGCTGAAAATATACCGGGTTATTGACTAATAAAGATAATGATGATATTCAGATGAACAAGATGGAAACACAATGATGATGATGAAACACAACACTTCACTAAGCACAGCACAGAATTTTCGAATGAAATCGTTTCATAAAATTCAGTCACTTTAATATCCTGATGAACTAACACTTGGCAAACAACAAATCTGACTATAGTTTATTACAAAAATTATTCACAGTAAAATTGTGCACGATAGAAACATGTTCAGAATTGCAATAATTTTAACACATAAAGGACGTATGCTTAGGCATTATTATACAACATTCCAGACCAGTTCATCTTTCACGACACCAATTAATACACAGAACTGAATCACAAGACGGAATTCTGTATGAACAAAAAAAAATTATAATTCATTCATTGTCTGATGATGATTTGATGATGAAATACAAAAATGAGATGAAACATTTTTTTTCACAAATCGTCATGTCGACTGACGCAGCTTCAGTTAACAAATGGCAAATATTGTTGGACAGCTTCGGTTTATATACAATAGGCTTAATCAAGACAAAGACATTGAACGTGATCATTTTACTTGCTACAGTTGACGATGATGAGTATTGACAATAGTTCAGATTCGTCATTGCAGTAATTAGTAGAGGAGAAAGGCAACATTGCAAAAAACGACGATCACAAATGAGTCATAATTTACTCAGTCAATTTACTCAAGTCAAGAGAAACAACTGAGAAGATGTTCATAACAAACGGATCCTTTTCCCACTAGTGCCATCTATCAATTGAAAAAATACAAACAATTCTTTTCGGTCTCAACCAATAACAATGACAAGCTAAAGATGGCGCCAATCACGCATCAAAACAATCTCAATTTAAAAACTGGCCAACAACTGTGACCTGGTGACCGAATATGCACTTTTCCGACGAACGTTCAGTGATCAATATGGATGCGCGATCAATCTCTCATTGTTCATTTTTATTGGCTGACAACAACAACAACAACAACAACAATAACAACAACAACAAAACAACAACAAAACAACTATATCTCTCATCCATTATTCGTATAAAAATTGATGGCTAATCGATTATCATTGGATTCGATCAATGATAAATAATAAATAATAAATGATGACCGATTGAAGAACAACAAAAACAAGTCTTGTTTGTTTCCTTACAATATGCGGGCAAATTGTTATTGTTGATGATGGAAAAAAAGACAAGACCAAATGATGATGAATTATTGAGAAAATTTGAAAATTTAATTTGAATCAAAAGAAAAAGCTTTATAAAAATGAACAATATATCCAAATAAAAGGCAATCAATAAAATGGATGGATGGATGGATGGATTGTTGTATCGAATGATTATCGATTGTAATCCATCCATGAACATGATGATAATGATGATGACAATTTTAAATTGAAAAGGCAATCATATAATCATATAAATAAATTATTATTATTGACAGTGGGCAAAAAAATATTGATGATTAGAATAATACATTGTACAATTGATCAATTCAATTATTCATGCAAGGTAAAAAAGGCTAAAGAGGCATTTCGAATTTCAATTTTCAATTATCCAGAAAAAGTGTCAACATGTTTCAGTGATGCAGTGTGTGTTGCTAGTCTATGAATACTAATCAATGGTAATGAGCAAAATTTTGGAATAGAAAAAAATGAATTACGAGTTTTGCCAACAGAATAAACTGATAAACATGAACTGATAGATACAACTCTTGTCCTAAATCCTAATGGATTGAACAAATGAATGAATGAATGAATAAAAATGATTGGCTGACGATCGGATTAAGGATACAAACACACACACACACACACACACTGAAAACTGGATTATGTTTGATGTGCATGGAAGAATGGAAATTGATCTTCATCAACTTGAACATGATAATGACCAGCTGATGAAATGTACGAATCAAGGCAAGTGGTGCAATCGTTTTATTGTGTGGCTGCATTCCGTCCATTCGGAAGCACCAACATTCTGAAAAATGATAATGATAACAACATCATGATGAAATGATATTCGGGCGCAGAGGTATGGTGAGTGCTTCGAATGCTGATATAACGATAATGATGATCAATTGAGTGATTATAGACAAAACTGAATAACTGGGTCCATCATATTTTATCAAGTCGTAGTCGTTCTTGTTTGTCCATGCAGATAGTGATGGTTAGGTAAGTGTTGTTGTTGTTGTTGTTGCTGCTGCTGCTGTGGTTGTGCTATGAATACATTTCTTATGTAATAGGGTTCACTCGATTGTTGTTGTTGTTGTGGCTGTTGTTGGGCGTATGTCGGCTGAATGCCGTACATTTCTTCCATTTGCCTCAGATAACGCAATATCTGTTGCTGCTCTCGAAGACGTAACATACGCTGTGTCGATTCAGACAATGTCGTCGCCGTTATGGATCGTTTACCACGTCGTCGATGCAATGCCCGATCATAGCCATACGGATCAAATTGTGGCAATTGAAACGGTGGTACCATCAACGATGATGTCGGTAAAGAAGCCGACAATGATTGTGATGCTGACGTGAATGATGATGATGATGATGATGGTGGTGGTGGTGCTGATAGCACACCACTGTCTGTGGACATGCGACGAATTTGATTGGCCATTGGAATTAACAACGGTAATGATAATGCCAGACCACGAATCAACAGCGCAGCATTCACTTTGGACGATGCTGATGACAGTATGCTTGCCGCAGCGGAATCGCCTCCAGTTGAAAGCAACGAATGTTTCTCGTTGTTGTGGTCGGATGACCGGGTAATCAACGACGCTAACGATGAGGGCAAATTCACACCAACTTTATGCAGCAAATCACCAATTATGTTACGTATGGAAATCATTGTCTGTATGGCCGACATTTCCACATCATTGAATGCATACGGTTTGGCTTTATTCGCATTAGACGATGACGAAGAGGATGATGATGCCGAGGCGGATAAATGATTCACAAGATTACTGCTGATATCATCGTCGTCGGGATCTTTACCACCGAGCAGACTGGAACCAGCAGCAGCCGCAACGGCAACGTTGCCCAGTCCAGACAACGTGGAAAACAATCCACGACCATTCCGTCGAGACTCTGGAATGTTGGGTGATGAATGTATTGGAATCGAATATGGCAATGTGTGACCATGTATTCCAATGAGGAAAAAAGCCTAAAAAGAATCTCATTAGAATTACCACCGCCATTGGCAATCATGACAGTTTGCTTACAATTAAAATTGTCCACTTCATTGTGAGTCAATAAAAATACAGCAAATTGAAATTCACTTTCAATATCCACATACAAAACATGCACACATACACACACACTAAAAGACCGAGATTCAATGAGCAACGATGATGGCTAAAGACCAACTAAGTGTCCATGACGGATCATACAATCATTATATCACATGACAGTGGAAGAAATAAATTTTCGTACAACCCAAAACCCATTTCAGCCAAACACGAAAAAATGCAATGCTCTTTTGACCTGCAAAATACAAGAGGTCCGTTACTAGTTTGGTATTCCGATTTAGAACATAAGAACACGAAGAGAAACAAATTCAAAGAGAACAACAAGAGAGTCATCCATAAAACAAATCCAGGTTTGGTCAAGAAGGTAAAAAACCTGGCCAAAATTGATGTGTGTGTGTGTGTGTGTGTGTGTGTGTGTGCAATAGTCGATAAACTAAACCCGTAGAAAAAGAGAAAGAAATGCCAAACAATCAAACAACATCCATGGCTTTTTCTCCGCTCCATCGATTGATCGATAAATAATTTTATTTTCACCGCCATCATCACAATCATGACCGAGCGAAAGAAAACCAAGTGAATAGATGAAAAACCTGGTTAAATGGCTCGACATATTTGGCATATTTTGGCCAATGCTCATCATGATCATGATCATTTGATTAGTGTAGTTGAGCATTGCGCTGACACATGTTTTCCATATCGTATCGCTTTGTCAACGGCCGTCATCATTATCGATTTAAAATGGATTCATTCATTTGCTAAAAATGGAAATTGTTTAAATTCATTTACCAAATGACAAATTTTTCTTCGTGTCATTATCATTACTAGTGGAAATCATTACTAATCGAATGTTCAATGTTATAGTCGTAATGAAAGTGAAAAAGGGTCTGGTTTCTGACTTGACAACAACAATTAAAATCATTCAATGCTGATCAAAGACAATTTGTAGATCACATTCACATTCACATTTACAACCACACGACAATCGATTCGTTTGTTGAATGAAATGGGTTGCATCTCTCATCTAAAAATAAAATGTTAAGTCAAGCAAGTTGAATGAGAGATTGAGAGAAAATAGAGTTTCAAATTATTTGATAAGAATTTTTCCACCACACAGTTATAATTCGATTTTCATTTGTTTGTTTACAAACCAATTCGAATCGACCTCGAACAGTGGAAGCCTGAGGAAAAATGAGAAAAAAATTAATTTCTTTATCCATATCAATATAACATGAGAAAAATGATCACATATTTGATCACTAGACCACTTTTAATGGGAAAACATTTTTTTCCTGCAATCGTAACACACACAAAAAAAAGATTCCGTTTTCAAACTTGATTACCATCATCATCAATAGTCGAGCAAAATTCAATTAGATCAAATCTAACCATCTAAAATTCATCATTTTGTTTTAGTTACATGTTCATGTCAGTTGATAAAAACAGCGCTAGGTCATGACCGTGTGTGTGTGTATGAACTTTCACCTGTTCCTAGTCAGACTGCAATAACTGTACCACCAGGTACCAGTCTGAACTGCGTGAAACAATAAATAATAATTATGGTGGTCGGAGAGGAAACCTGTTGGCTATGTAGAGATTGAAATTCTTTGCAAAAAATAATGACAACCTGTGCATGAATCATGGCCAGTTTCATGGATTATTATGATGCTCATCAGATGATTCACGGAAAAATTAACCATTAAACAACAAGACAAGATCAAAATTTAGACAAAGTGGTGCGGGCATAAATTAACTAAAAATAGGAAGGGTTTGGTCCATGAAACAATTTGAAACAACAATAAGCAAACTGATTCCGAATTATGGCCATCCATCCAATTGTCACCATTAACTCATTTACATTCATGAAAATGTCAATCATTTCATAATAATGAGATCATCCTTACACAAGATGATGATGATGACAAGTGTGATTAGGAAAATGAATGCAAGAAATGCATCAATGATGGCTACATTTCTACATTTCTTCATTGATGATGAGGGCACATTCCAATGGTCAGTAGCCAAATAGCAAAACCAGGTTGTCATTGCTTACAAGTGGCAATCAATGAATCTAATGACCCAATGATATGCAAGCGAACAACAAAACAAGTATCAAGTAGCGAAAACTCATCAAGGGGTTTTCTCTCCAATTCACCGAGCTTAGTTAGTTGTCCGTTGTCCGAGTCGTTATCGTTATCATTATCATTCATCTGCCAAAACGACACTACTCGAGTGTTTAATAATGCATAATTTCTACAAGTACATGAATCCATTCGATTCAAAGATGTTGCCGAAATGAATAACACACACACACACACACACACACTCGAGAGATAAGAAAAGCAATAAATAAATGAGATGCAATTTGCTGAAGCAGACAAATAATCAATTACAATCACGATTTCATTGTTGGCCATTTGAAAAAGATTTGAGAAAAATTCAAGAAATCAAGAAATTTTTCCTTAAAAACTGATATTAATGATAACTCAACTCAACTCAACAATCAAGGCGTAAATTATGAAATTTCTAAACATTGTACCGCTCCCCATAAACTGACCCATCGTTCACTCGGTTCGAGATGTTCAAGACTTAATAAATATAGCAACCATTCAGACCATTATTATTCATCGTTGGCAAGTTGAAGCGACTGAAAAGTTGTGTTAATTTTTGCACCATTAATGATGATGCACTTTTCGTTTTTCATTCATGAATCGATAGTGATTGTTGTTGTTGTTGTTGTTGTTGTTGTTGTTGTTGTTGTTGTTGTTGTTGTTGTTGTTGTTAAACGAATGAATGAATGAATCAATCTTTCTGGACTGTATGGATGGACATATGCTTTATTTTTTATTATCAATTTACTATACATGAACAACATGTGAAAAATGGGAGAAAATAAATGATAATGATAAATTATTATAAAACCATCAATCTGCTCTGCCACAATAGAACAAAAACATAAATCCTATGAAATTGCAATGTTCAATGTTCAATGTTCAATATTCAATGCTCAAATTCGAGTCTTTTTCTTTGCACAACAACTTTCTTTTTCCATCAGTCTAGTTAACCAACTAGCCATGGCAAGTTTTTCAGGTCACATACAGCAATTATTTCCTCAGACGATCAATAAATTTTGATCCGTGCACAATCAATAACCATTACTTTCTAATTGTCTCGTATTCACTCTCACTTGTTCAATAATAATAATAATGCTAATTTAATTAGACACACGCACACACAAATTTCTAAATTTGTAACCGGCAGCAAAAATGTATTGATTGATCTGATGAAAATTGGCTATAAATGGAATTTGCTCCGACGCAACAATATCTCCATCTTTGTTTCATTCATTTGGACCAACAAACCAGTCAGACACAAACAATCTCTATTCATTGGTTGGTTCATTGTTGGCAAACAACACAGTCATTTATCAAACAGAATGAAAAAAAATGAAAAGTGATGCCACACATATAACAATCACAACAAACACAACAATCACAACAATCACGGTGGTGGTCTCATTTTCCATGCTCAACAATTATAATGCATTCAGAATCATCATACAAAAATAGAATAGAATAACCCATTCTGACGATGAACGATTTGAGACATGGAAAAAAAGTCAATCATCATATCGCACACGACATCCGTTATCAAATAGTTGACCTGTCAATTTGTCATCGTGTTCATGTTGTGCATTCATGTTTTAGTGTCGAATCACCATCCCATTTCCCGGTTTCGTTCAGTTCATCATCATTATTATCGATCAATTAATGCTAGCAAAACCAGAGCAAATATGAGACGATCCCCAATTTTCGAAACAATAACAACTCTAATCTCATCTTGATCACAAATGAAACAATGGACTGACATATGGGGCAAATTGGCTCATCGAAATTCGCTTATATTAAACATGGATTCGTTCAATTACACACACTGCATTCGTTATTCCATTGTTTGTCGAATCAAACACCAAAAATAGACAAACGCGTTTGCATTTTCTCTGGGTAATTTACATTACTGTACTGTATTTATTTTGTGGTGGCCAATCAAGAATAAAAAGGCGAAAGTTTTATGACTTGATGCCACCAGTTCCCATGTTTGTTTTGCATATTGTGGTGGTCAGAGTCCCAATCCGATATTGAGATTTGGCCATAATTGATGTGTTACTACTGTTGTTTGGCTCTTCCATCACTCGGTTTGATTACCATTGTCAGCGAACCAAATCCAAATTGATTTCACAACAACAACAACAACAACAACGACGACGACGAAGACGACGACGAAATCGAAACACAAATGTAAACATCGTGAAAACGAAATAAATAAAAAAAAAACACAGAAAAATCGGGTTATAAAACAACCTGTTTTTCAATTTTCTTTTTGTTTTTCTGTCATTTTTCTGGGTGAATGACCAAATACAGAAATTTTTCTTTTCTCATCGATGATCAGTGTGATTATGACCAGACAACAAATCATTATCTTTCAATCTTTATTATTCTGGTTTCGTTTGTGGATCATAATGATGACCACCACACCTGATTGCTCCAAACCCAAAAAACAACAACAACACAACGTGAAATTGTGAAAAAAAGTAAAATTATAATCATCAATCGAAAGTAATCCAATCTATTCGTATCGAATCGACTCGAATTGAATCGAATTGAATCGAATTGAATCGAAATGAATCAGGTCACAAAATATGAATCCAATGATGATGGCTAAGCACGCGAAAATCAGATTCTCTCACGAGAAAAGCAAATTTCACCGAATCAATCAATCAATGAATCGATGGCTGATGCAATTACAATCAACTGTCGGATGAGCTTGATTTGAATTTCTCAGTCATCATTACCGTGTCTGTCTTTTGTCTAGCGTATCACCCACTAAAAATATGCCGATTCATTGTGCACACACACAATACATAATACAATACGTTGATTGCGCCACACTTTTCACTAATTGATCATCACTCAACAACATTCATCAGCGCAGATGTAGACTAATTAATCGAAATGTTGCCAATTATCATCCATAGGACAAGTGCAACCCTGTTTTTCAGCTTTCAACTTGGATGATATGATGTTATGTTGAGATGATGCTCACTCACACATACTCGGAATGGGTCACCACTTTTGTTCAACTTGAGATTATCGGCAACGGCCATAATTATCGGTTACAAGTGTGCTCCATCACCACTTGAATTTTTGGTGATGAGATGGACATGAATTATTTTCTGATCATAATGATGATCATGATGACATTTCAGCTCAAGTTTGCCTGATGAACATGTGATGTGCTTTTGGGCCACCATAACTTGTATTGCCTCTTATTGATTCATCTATCTATCTATCTATTACGGTACGGTTTCTAGGTTAGCCACCAATTGCTCATTAACAAAATGGATTGAATAATTTAATAGTCGGTCAATCAATCATTCATTTGAACGAGAAAATAATGGAAAATTCTTCAACTTTTCCTTCCGAAAAGAAACAGTAGCGACAAATGTATGTTTCATCCGACAAATAGATGAGAGATGCAAACAAATTATTAGATAGATTGGAAACCAGCCAAGTATGTGGCAAGTTCAAGTTTCTTACAACAACAACATGAACAGCACATCTTCATTGAAACTTGATTATCGGGCTATACATTTGTAACTACTTGGACTGTCAATGTGTCAACTGAATCACTGATGCTCGGTTTTCGGGGATATAATGTCATTAATTTATTAATTCATTTGCCAGAGCTCAATTTATGATGCATTCATTTTTGATAAGCAAAACAACACTTTGGTAAACTTGAAATCTTCAAAATTGTAATTGATCGATGGATTATTCCACTGGATTAGCACAGTGATTCAGTGAAGGAAAAAGTACACATAAAACCAAGGTGCTAATAACGTAATAGTGATTTTCACATGGATAAATTTTTTGTTAATCAAAAATCAAACCAAGTGAATGAATTCGATGACCTGGCCATCCAGTTCAATTGATCGAATGCAATGTAATTTGATTTGAGTCGATTCAAATCGATTCGAATAAAACAACAAGCAATCAGCCGGAGAAAATTGATCACAATCATGATTGATAATCTAGTCTGATTCTATTTAAACAACAATGTAACCACCTTTAGACAGCAGACAATGCAAAAACACGATTTAAATGATAATAATAATCAGATCCAATGAAGATGTTATGGTTGCTCAGAAATATCATGAAACGTAGTTTTGAAAGGACCCATCCGATGCTGATGAAAACGTGCACTTTGCTACAATTAAATGTAACAACATTTGATACTTGTTACAAAATATCAGAATTGAATACTGACTAATCATGACTGATCAGCTGTCGCTGTCTTGTTTGTAAACACATTGGTTATAAACAAAACTTGTTTCCAATCTAATTGCCATGTGTTATGAAGCATTGTTTCGTTCGTATCGACTAGGTTGTATCTGCACATTGTTAATCAACCTTAGATATCATTGGGGAAACTTGGCAATTAAAGTGATCACATTTCCTCTCACTGACACAATTCGCAACGTGATCAAACAACTCACCATCGACAACTTTTCAATAGCAATCAATCAATCGTCAATGGATGGACAAACAAATACAAAATTCGAGAAAGTAAGACAAAAACCATCACCAACACATTTCACAAGACAACAACATGAACGGTTTTTTCTTGTCATTTCACGACTGATTAAAAAAGATGGATCGAAAAGACAAACTCCATCATTAAGACTGCTGTGCTGTGCTGCACTGCACTTGGTTGGATTTGGTGCCATTTATAGAACTCGCACACTTTGAGCAAATAAGCAAATAATGCTATTGATGCCAATAACACTAGATGCCAATCCACCAAGTTTCTTTTCATCATCATTATCGCCTGATCACCGGCACAAGTAGAACCAGAAAATTGAAAAAGACACACTCACTAAAAATAGTGACATCAAAGACACCGAAAAAGAAAATTGCAATCCATTTCATCATGGTTTTCAAACCAATGGATCATTGGAATATTCAACAACAACAACAACAAGCAAACAAACTAACAAACAATTAATCACCATTCTTGATTAAAGTTGCTGTTGACACAATTTTAAAACGATAAGAATTGCATCTCGACATTAATTTCAATCTATTGCTTGGAGCCAATGTACAATGATCACTATATACTCGACTAAATTAAATGATGACTACTTTAGATTAAAGGAAAACCAAGGCTAGTTGAGCAAATCAGCTTATTCGACTTGTAATAATAAATTAAACCCAATCATCATCATCATCACTATAATCATAATCATCATGAGATGTAAATTCATTGCTTTAATGATGCCCAAGTAATCTATAGCAATGATGATGATTTACATATCGAACATTTGGCTAATAATAAATTGCACATGTTTGACATGAATCATCTCTGCAACAACTGCATGGATCGATGATGAACCTCATCATCTCCAACTGGACAAAAAGTGTCAATATCAACTTCTTTGTGGCTTCTGCTCAATTATATCCGTTTCACTTTTCTTTTCAGATTCAGTTTACAAAAAAAAAACTGTTACACAATCAAACGCTCACAGCCATGTTTAACAAACAACTAAAAATAACCAAATCCGAACCACTCATCTAGATCTAGATCGTCTGCATTTATGGCCAATGGAGTGGATGCACGCGATGCAATTTCGTTTTAGTGGCCGAAATTCTTAATTAATCGACCCAACCAATTAACAAACAATGTTTGGTCATGCAAATACCACATTATATGAATGCAAATGTTTGCCAATAGCAACCAAATAAATATTGGTCATCTGCATCAACCGGTCGAATCAAATCAAATTACATGATTCAATGTGATTCACCTCAATATTTCTGATAACCAAGTTTATTCTTTGTTCAAACCAATGAAGCAACTGCTACCGAATGATCAGTGAGAAAAATTTCAACAAGTTGAAACATTAACTGATGATTAGACTGATAAAGCGGTGAAAAATGGTGGCTCTTCATCATCATCATCATCATAAAAAATCCGCTAAACGAAAACCAGATCAAGATGGTGATAAAGGGAAACGGAGGAATTGAAAAATTGAATAAAAACTCCAGACAGACGTTGACGAGCGTAAATTCAATTTTGTTTCCAATTCGATATGGAGTAATGGAATCACTGTAATAATCATCAAACATGATGACGACGAGCTTGGTGGCCATCGTATTTAGGATAATTATCATCTTGATGAATGGTGGTGGTGAATCAAATTTCATCATCCTCATCATCAAGTGACGAGTCGAAATTTTCTCTTTCACTGGTAGACAATGATCGATTAGTCAACTTTGGAAACCATTTTCACTATTTTTCAAAATTTCAAAATTTTAATCATGAAAACAGAATAAATTCGTGTTGTTGTGGTTGCGGCTAATGTGGGAAAATCCCTGCCCAAATCCAATCAATTATTCGCATAGACTCCATGTTATGTGTTTACATTCTCGAAATGGGCTGCATTTAGCAAATCATACAATTCATTCTTCTTCTTCTTCTTATTATTCAACAAGAATTCCGGTCGACATAATGAACCGTGAAAGCAAACAAACAAAGTAAAGGGATAATAATAATAATAAGATTTAAAGAGGATAATAAGGTCACAACAACAGATTAAGATTTAGAGGTCAACCTCATCAACGGTCGAGAATGATGAAGAGAACGAAACGGAAACGTCGAATGGACCGAAATGCTTGTGTCCATCAATCATCAATCATGACCAATTCAACAGGTTCTTGATCATCCGACCTGTTTGTGTCGGTCTATTTAATCACCGAGCACTAGCTTATTCAATAAGTCATGTCAAAACATTGTTGTTTATTCTTCAAACATTCTTATTTCGTTCGACACGGCAATGCATCATCATTTGCATGTACTGCGGCCAAAAGGGGTAATATTGAGCATCGAGCACAGAGATTCACGTTTTGTCTATTTATTTGCATTTATGGATGTATTGTGTATTGCTTTCCATCATGATGCATTGGTCACTTGATCGAGTGTAGGAGGACCAAGTAGTTAATGATGATGTTGTTGTATGTTTGCATTTGACCTCAAATTTCAATTATCTCATCATTGGGCAATGAGCCATGAGAACGGAGAATCTTGTTTGATGCTGACGTTATTTATGACTCTCTACAACTACAACAACATCAACAACAACAAAACATCAACAACAACAACAACAACATCATCATTCGATTATCGGGATTTAAATCAGATTAATCATCAATCGTCATAGTTACGACACCAACGATTATCGCACCATGTAGATTAGTGAGTTAGTGAGCCAGTCGTCGGGATTTGTTTTGTTGTCTGGTTCACATTGCATCATGAACGAAACAATAATTCAAGTAGATTCGGCAGTCAATTTCAATCTGTAATGTCTTTCAATTCTCTTTTTTATTTGCCATTTGTACCAATACTTTTCCTCGTTCTCTCATTTCCTAGTGGGCCACATTTAGACACAGTTGACGATGGCAATGATGATGGCAAGGATTTATATTACCCACGAATAAACAACCGTGGTGAATGCATTGTATTGGATTATCTGGATAATGCTCAAACACAACGCACAGTGAAGCAATTGGAATCGACATTCAAGCGATTAAATTATCATTTCCAACATCATCCCAATCTGAATAACAAACAAACGTTGAAATTACTTGATGCACAAGGTTAGTCATCATTTTCTCAGTCAACAACAACAACAACAATTCTCCTCATTTCAATTTCAGTTGGTCAATCGGCAATCGATTCCTGTTTCCTATTCATTCTGACGACGTCATGTCGAGAAGTGATTAGCTGTGCGAACCAAACGCGAATCAAATCAGACCTGCTCATCGATTCGTTGAACGGCAAAAACAGCAAATCATTGGCTGGCAAACCGAAAATTGTCATCATTCAAGAGTTTAATCAACATCGACTAATCTGCGACGGAGGAAATGATCGACTACCGAAACCATGCCTCATTCCGACCTACGCTGACATGTTGATCTATACATTTCGAGGCGGTAGTCCAATATTCTTGCAAACACTGTGTTCGATAATGAGGCAACATTCAAACAACAACAACAACAAATTCGATCTAGTCAAACAATTGACCATGGTTACCAATGTTGTCCATGAACGAACCGGCACCATACCAGAAATGTTTTCTACCACCATCAAATTAATTCGAATCTAACAAATGTCAACCAAAGTTTAATGAATCAATGAATTTCCACCTCAAATAAAGCGACCTAAATTTTTTTCATTTCACTAATGAATGTTGAATGTTGAATGTTGATGTTATAGTAAAGTAAAACAAAACAAGAAAAAGAATGAAATGAAACAAGTCAAGTTTTGAGAAAAACACTGGATAACTTTCTTCCAACTGCAACTGTAGCAGTTGTTAATGGTGTGCCATTTTTTCCGTTTCTCTTCGATGCTACCAAATTCTTTTCGCTATTAATCACCACCAGACTCTACAGGTTGCCCAGAGCATCTATTTTGGTGGTAAATAAAACTTGCAAGTCGATAAAAGAAAATTTTATTGCCCAAATTATGCCGTTTCGATTCGAATGTGGAGAAAAATCATTTCAAATCAAAAAATCCCGACCACAACAATGAAAACAATCAATGGGGTGCTTTGGTGAAAAATTAACCACTGTGAAACAGCAGAATAGTCTTGCTTCCAATTCCGTTTAAAACTAGCAATAGCGACCAACTAATGTATGTGTGAGTAAATAAAAAAACAACGACAATTTTAATTCATCATCAATCAACATGACAAATCAGATGTATTGGGCAGATTTCTCATATCGATTCCTTTCATCTTTATTTTGATCATCAGCTTGGTCTTGTTCATCCTCATTTTTGCGAATCGTTTGTTGTCGACTACTGTCAAATTTGTGACTATTATGAACCACACCACTCGTTCGAGAATAATCCGATCTAAATTGTCGATGCAGTTGGCGAAAAATGGGTTTTTTGCATACGAATGCAATGAATATGCAAGTGCCTAGGCATTAGACAAAACAAACAAACAAACAAACATTAGACAAAACAGGTGCAATTTTTTTCCAACAAAACACTTGCCATGTGATGACAATAACATTAATGACCAAAAATTGGCAACCTGACAATTATTGAGAAATGCGTTGCCAATAAATGTGAAAAGATTCAATACACCCAACAGAATAAAGATTTTCAGATACCAAACAATACGGTGTTGAAAAGAATTGCTTGCCATCATTGGTCGACTACGATCACGATCACGATCACGACTACGACTACGACTACGACTGCTGTAATCATGTCTATTGGAATGGTGATCCTCATTCTTTGATATGGATGGCCGACTTGGGCCCAGTGTGGATGTTTTGATTCTCAGTATAGCAGCAATCAATGTGAAAACATTGAAACAAAATGACAGACATATTGGCAACACAACAAACAGGAAATGTGCACGAACATTACTTATACCACAATAATTGTTGGCACCATAATTGGGTCGAAACGAGAGAATTTTGTTGACAATTTTCGATCCATTGTAGTTGAGATAATGAAGAAAATCCAGCGCCAGTGCAATCGATATGATCATTATTGGAACAATGTATGCCATTAGGAAATAACGAATTACACCTCGCAATACCAGTGTTGGAATTCGTACCTTTCGCAATATATCGAACGCTGTTCAATATATTAAATAGAATGGTAATGAAAAAATGCAAAAAAAGGTTAATCGAATCGAATCGAACAAGAGAGGAAATCAGGACTGTCACAGATGGTGATTGATACTAATTACAAATACTAATTAGTCATAGCCTAATAAATCATTCACATCACATGGTCGACAAACAACTCACCAATTAGATTAGTCCAACTAAGAATGCTAAGTAAAAAATAATGCAAGAATATGGTGATTGTGACACAAACAATCTTTGGCTGTCCTCGCGGTAGATTGATGGCAATGAAAATCAGCAGATTGGAAACAAATTCACTGGATATCAGGCCCATTAAACATTTTCCCGGCACAGTACGCAGACTGGGTAGTATACAGTATACGGCAAAACTAATTATCAACGCCAACAATGATGTGATTACACTCATTTCCAACGCTATTCGCTGATCATTGTTCAATTCGTATAATGCTGTTGACAATGATGTTTTCATTGTCTTCGATGCTGTAGATATAGATGTAGATATAGTAGGCCTATGATGGTCATTATTATTATCGACATGGCTATTCAATAGTCGATCAAAATAGGAACAAAATTCACGAATCGGATCAATCGATTCAGTTGTGTCAGTCACATTATTATTCATGTTCTGATGATGATTGTGATTGTTGAATTTTCAAATTTTCGCTCTCATCTCATCTCATCTCATGCAATGGAATGAACAAGTCGAACATGGACAAAAAAAACTTTGAACCAAAAATGGCACAGTTTTCACTTATATATTAAATGAAACATTTCATTTCACTCTGGAACCATGCGCCTTGTTACAATTACAATGGTTGGTTAATTTGTTGAATTTTTTCCTTCACACAAGACAATGAAATGATTATGATCCGATCATTCATGCGCAATATTCGGTTCCAAAGAATCAAGCTATCAAGTTATATATTGCCAGATACAGTTATTCACTTTTCACTTGCATTTTCAAAAATTCACATCAACAAACACATTCAATGCATGAATGAATGAATGAATTAGTGCTTATTGGAGAACAGTAAAAACAATTACACATCATCAAGACTCCAAGATAATGATGATGATGATGGTGATGCTCACACAAACAACAAACCAGACAAGGAGAAAAATTAATTTAATTTTCCTTCAATCAAAATGAAACAAAAGTCATATCATCGTCTTCATATAGAAATGGGAAAAAACATTCAACACTTTGCCCATTTCAATTCATTGTTCACCACCATCATTATATTTTTATACAAAGAAAGAAAAATTTCAGAATTGATTGCATGCAATCATCAATGATTCAATTCAATAATCATCAGTTCTGGTCATCAATCATTGATTCATGGCCATTTTTCCATCATCCACTATACTAAGCAACTGGTTCCCCTTACATAACAAAAACACATTCACATTCTCAATCCATTTATTGGAACAAATCATACAATCATCAATACATTTCCGGTGGTGGTTCATCCCCAAACATCATACGCCAGGAGAATGGTTCGATCCATCGATATGGATTTCGATAGAGACCGGCCAATTCTTCATCGCTTTTTTCCACAATACAATCATTATCACTATTGAGAATGTCGGCAATTCTATCGGCAAAATAAAACGAATGATGACGATTATCGCCTTCGGAACAATACATGACCAAACAGAGCATAGGTTGTTGCATCGAGTGCCGCAGAAATGATCGAGCCGAACCAGAACCCGGAAGGTGTATCTTTCCATTCTCTGATGGTCGCATCGAATCTGGGTCCATTTTCATCACCGGTTTGATGGCCAACTTTTCACTCAAAAAACATTTAGTCACATCTTTTAGGTGCTCGTTTGAAAGGTACATGATTGGAATTCCACGTTGATCGACGACATATTCAGGTGCCAAAAATTGATCGAATGTAGATGACAAAACAATGACCAATGCGAATCGATGTCGAGATAACCACGCAAACATTTCTCGATAAAAATCGTCACGATATTCCTTGTATATGGGCGATCGTTGTTGTATGAGAACCAATTTTTTCCTTTTCGACACAAACACTTGCATCGATGTTGACAGCAAATTGCCTTCCAATCGGAATGGATCAGGGCCAGCGAATGGACGTACATATTTCGATTGCAGATAACCAATCAATTCGAGATCATTGCCAGAATCGGTGAGAAATCGATTAATCAACAAATCGATGGACAATTGTGGAACATTACCCACTGAAATGCATGGCAATATCAGCTTATATCCATCCCATTCATTCTTTTCGGGGTGACAATTTCGATCGTAAGGCACGAAAAACGAGGACATTTTTCAATTTCAAATTTTCATTTATTTTCAATTTCAAAAATTTCGAATCAACAACACAAAATTTTCTGCTCTGTAATTCGTAACGTACTCTATTGACGGGCGCATGTTTTTTTGATTTGTTTTTTCGAGAGATTTCACCATGCACACATGTGGTTGGTTTGAGATGCTGATTTTTTGGTCAGTAAAAAATTCTGCAGTTTGACCTTGTTTTTTTCTTTAGTCAATTACATAAATTGGAGAAAATGTTCACCCGAAGATTGTTGGCCACATCTCAACGTAGTTTATTCGGCCAATCAACGGCAACTGGATGGCAACTGTCCACACTGGCGAATAAATCGAAACCACTTTTGCCGTCATATTGTTTTGGTTCAAGTGGTGTTGTGCATAATAATCAACAACAATTGTCACGACGAAACATTCATACATCATCAGTGTTGTGTGCAAAAGATTACTATAACATTTTAGGCGTCGATAAGAATGCGTCGGCCAAAGAAATCAAAAAAGCCTATTATGAATTGGCCAAGAAATATCATCCGGATACGAATAAAAAGGATCCGAATGCCGCGAAAAAATTCCAAGAAGTCTCTGAAGCATACCAAGTACTGTCCGATGATGGCAAACGTAAACAGTATGACGATTTCCAAAAATTTGGCGGTAGTACTGGAGATTTCAATTCAGCTGCTGGTGGTGGTGGTGGTGGAGGATTCTCCGGTTGGCAACAAGGTTTCACTTCAGGATTCAACAGCGAAGATATATTTCGACAGGTTTTTGAAGAGATGCGAAATTTTGCCGGTGGCGGCAGCGCCGGATTCAGTGATGAATATGGATTCAGTACACCATTGCAGATGGACATGAGTCTTAGTTTCACGGAAGCTGCCAAAGGCATTCAAAAAGAAGTTCATATCGATGTCATGGATACTTGTCCCAAATGTCATGGATCAAAGTAAGTTATTCATTTTCAAATGATGACACTAATTTAATTTGACTATTCCAGATCTCGTGGTGATGAGAAACCAGTAAAATGTCCATACTGTCAAGGTACCGGAATGGAAACCGTTTCGAATGGCCCGTTTATAATGCGTACTACATGTCGAAAATGCCATGGAACACGCGTGTTGATCAAAAATCCTTGTCGAGAATGTCACGGCGAAGGTATCACCAAACAACGGAAAAAGATTCTGATAAACGTACCACCAGGTGTTGATGATGGCCAAAGTATTCGCATGAAAGTCGGCAACAAAGAGCTATACATAACGTTTCGGGTATCACGTTCAAATCATTTTCGTCGTGATGGTGCCGACATACATTCCGATGTTGAAGTGAATCTATTTCAAGCCATTCTTGGCGGGTCAATACCCATACAAGGTTTATACGAAAATCTAACGCTCAAAATTCAACCCGGTACCACATCACATACACGAATTCGTCTGCCAGAAAAAGGCATCACCCGTGTCAACAGCTATGGCAAAGGGGATCACTATGTCCATGTCAAAATAAATGTGCCCACGTAAGTTTTCCAAGTTGTTCAGGTTTTCAATTCCAAACTCAAACTTATTCATTCATTCATTCACACACACACACACAGGAGTATGACTAAAAAGCAAAAAGCATTGTGGCTAGTTCTGGCCGAAATGGACGATTCATTACTGAGAGGAATCATCAATGGAATCGTCAATACACGTAGTGGTGGCCGTGTTGTGGAAGGTGATGCTGAATTCGAAGAATACGTCAACATTATCAAACAAGCAATGGACGATATCGATGAAACCAAGGATAAAAATTCGGACCGTAATTCATGAGTTTTTGCCGATAAACAATCAACACAACACGAATAATTATTATTTGTAAATATCGAAATTTCAATTCTCCAATTAGATTATTTTGCCTTGTTAGAAATTATGAGTTAGAATTTGATGAATTTGTTGGAATAAAATTTCAATTATCAAACTTGTCAATTGTATAAATATCAATCACTATTCGATGCATTCACAGTTGTTTGTTTTAGTGCTTGCTAGCGTTACCGGTTGGTTGGAAAGGAAAGGTGGTGAAACAACAACAACAACAACAGCGTAATGCCTTTATATACAAAAAAGATGCTCGAGTATATCGAAAACGAACGAAAGATGGCCACAGAACCGAATGAACCAACAACATCATCGCATAGATCGAGACCGAGATCACCGCAGCTCAAATCACCGAAGCCGAGATCACCGCAGCCCAAATCACCGAAACCGAGGTCACCGCAGCCAAAATCACCGAAAACCAACAATACAGCAGCAGCAGCAGCAGTAGTGAATAAAGCTGATCAATTTCGAGCAACATTGCTGGATAGAAGAAGCAAAAGTATAGCCCGTACATTGGGACCGATACCGATAGAAAGTTCGCCTTCATTTGAACTGTATCAATTTGAACAAACCAATAGCAACCTCGTATCGATTCGAAGTGAATTTGGTGAGAAAATCTATCGTGTCAGGCATCGGAATTTTCCTCAGATACCAATGGTGGTCAGAATCTATTCAAAAGAACAGGCGAGTCGCATACACAATAAGTTATATTTCAAAATACTAAGACATCTTGGCAAAAAACATCCACTCATACTGCAAACATGGGACATATTCGTCAATCAGGACTACCAATATCTCGTCTTTCAACAACACACACATACCATTGACTTGACACAATACATTCTAGGCCGACAACCGGATGGTGAACAAGAATTGGTCGTATGCCATTGGTCACGTGAACTTTATCGAGCACTGGACTATCTAATCAATTCGGCTGTTTGTCATAACAATCTAACATCAAGTTGTGTGCTGATCAGTCTTCGCGATAAAATGTCCATCCAGCTGACCGGTTTCTATCGATCATTCATATATCAGTCGAGCGCAAGGAATAATCTTCGACCACGACAATCAATTCGTGATCGCGAAACCATTCGACCAGACTTTAAACCACCCGAAGTATTTGGCTCGGAACATCAAACGGGAAAATATGACCCACTCATAGCCGATATGTGGTCATTGGGCGCCATCATCTATTTCGCCATCAGTGGTGAATATCCACATGATTATAAGGTAATGTGTGTGTGTGTGAACAAACGAAAATCAGTTAACAATTATTATCATCCTCTATCCTCTATATCTAGATTCGTTCGAAAAATATCGAGAAAGAAATTCAATTCAATCTGGATTATTTCGGTAGCCGAATAAGCAAACAAGCACATGATTTACTGGCCAATCTATTGACAAGCAAAGTTAATAAACGATTGAAATTGGACAGAATGAATCAACATCCGTGGTTTTCAATGTTCAAAACGGTCGAACAGCAGGAATCGTCAATGACAACGTTTAATAATAGTGAAATTACTGAATTTCGAGATGATGACGATCAACTCAGTGCTCTCAGTCGATATTCATCAGTCGATATGATACCAGAACCCACGACCACTAGAGGAAGAGGTCATACTGCAACAAGAACAAGAAGACGACGAGGACCAGGAAAAATGGAAAAAGGTAAAGGAGGAGTATTAGCTGCTCAGGTAGCAGCAGCAGTAAGAAAAGGAAATGAATTTGAACAAATTGATGAAGAAGAAACAGCACGTACCGATGATGATGATGATGATGTTGATGATGAACATGATGAACAACAACCAGATCATCAACAAGCCGATCAACGCCGTCCATACCTTAAACGCCAACGACAACAAAGGCCAGCAACTGATGATGACAATTATTAGTTATTAATCAATTTTTCAAATATCAAAATACCTTCTATCTATAATAATATAATAATGTCATGTCATAATGTTATGTTATGTTATGTTGCCAATAAAATCAATTTCTCACAATCAAATATTCATTGATATGAAACACAAAGAATGTTGATACAAAGAGAACACACATCAATAGTAGAGCACTTTATATATGGACAAATATAGCACGTTGAACATCAATCTCAGTGACTAACATTCAACAATTTTATTGACCAAGTATTAATAATATGAAATGATTTGACGATTAGTCATTTGTGTTTGTTTATCAGCAAATATTTTACAACAGATAAAAGGAACAAAAACAAACAAAAGATTGTATTGTATATGAGATACGAGTGACGAGGATGCGTACTATTCTATGAGAAAAATATTCGATCCATGGTTCGAAACATGGTTAATAATGCCACAACAATAATGATTACAGATCGTTCCGGGTGTACTGTTTGGCCATGGTTCTCATTAAACTTTTGTTGACCAGCAATGGCTGTAGCCGTTGTTTCAGCATATTGTTCGTCATGTTGTTGTTGTCCATTCTGATGATTCGAAATCAAGTCATCGTGATCATTTTTCATCTTAGCTTCACGTATTAGATTCGTGCGAGAATTGGTGATTAATCGCTCATCATCATCATAACTGTCATGTTCGATTGCCATCAAATCATCATGATTCCGTTCGATTGTCAATGTTGTTGTTTCCGGTTTAGCAGTCGTAGTTGTTGCCGTGTTGTTGTTAGTGGTAGTGGTGGCCATGGACGGAATCCTTGGTATGGAATCGATAAGATCTAGCCAACATTTTGTATGTGGCTCACCGGGTAGATTGCATGCAGTATATTTACTGAAATAGCTTGTATGGGCATGGAAAAGATAATCGGAAATATTGGCCACCTTTTCGCCACAATGTTCCTCCACTTTTGCATAGATGCACTGGCGAAATGCTTTCCAATGTCTGTATGCGTGTACAAAGAACAAACATGTCAATAATCCATAACGATCATCATTTAGGATCCGAATACAAACTTACTCACAAGCTTCCAATCCATTGGCTTTTTTAGTCTTTTCATAATGAACCAAATCACAATGCCATTTCGGTGTATTCAGCACTTTGCTTATGCATTTCTCATGTTTGAAAAAGTCTAAGTCATACATATATTATTAGTGACATATAATCATCAATCAATCAATCAATTTCCTACCTTGATCAATAAGCGGAAAAGTTCGATAACAAATATCATGTGCCAGATTCGATTTCCACGTATATCGATAGGAAAAGATTTTAATTCCACGCTTGTTACATAATTCACGGTGTAGTGGCTGTTTACATCCAGCTTCATGTTCGTTGATCTGTCGAATACAATCAACGAATCGCATGTACGATCCATCCGAACTGGTTCATCAAAATGGAATGATTCATGTGAAACCTTGACGATAAATTTGAGCGATACAAACCTGCATAGTTGGTAGTAACTCATTTCATGATCGCTGAATTTATATTGTTTAAGTTGGTTGAAAAAATCTGTCTGACATTGATCCAATTTGGCTTTACAATTCACTGATGATGATGGTTGTGCACGAGCCAAATCTGAAAAACATGAAATCAGCAAACAACTTGAATAAACACATCAATCCAACAAACACATACCAGTGGCCGCCGACACGGTGAGAAAAAGTAAAATCATCAAATTTGCCATCATCAAATGTTTGTTCAAATCTGTGAGAGCAAAAAAGAAATAAAGAAAGAGAAAAAATTTAGCGACGATTTAATCTGAACATTTTTCGACATTGACAATGAATTGTGTGATGTGGTCCACCAAGATATTCATTCACACACACACACACACACAGGAAGTTTCTATGAGATCTTCAACCATTGATAATGATAAAGAGAAAGCAAAGGAAATGAAACTCTTGCCTTTCCTCTCTTTATTTGGTCGAGTGTGTGAGTGAGATTCACTTTTATCATCCAAATCCACCAATCATCGATCAATCGATTTGAATGAGAAAGAAAAAAGCTGGCATCATTCTCAACGCATTAGCACTTGAAATTTCTTCATGTTACAACTTTTCAAACGAATTAATTCTCATATACAAACCAGTGAACAATTCTTGTAACAAATTGACAGTGCGGTTCAAATTTGGCACAGAAACTATTTTTACACCGCAAATCGATTCAAAGTGTAAATTCAACTACACAAAACAAAAAACAAGCAAGTCGAGCAATCATTCACTGTCAATTAATGAATGAAAATGTTTCATTGGTGAAGAGACAAATTATTTCTAAATTCATTGAAAACATGACATCTTCATTATATTGTATATAAACAACACATGAGCCAACTTTTATGGTTGTTGCCAATCATCGGATGTCTAATAAAGTTGTGATGAAAATATGTCGGAACCATAAAACACTGACCGACTGACCCAACAAAATCACATGAACCAATGCGATTCAATGTTGAAAATTGTCAAAAGTATACAATCCGAGAATCGAGGTTCAAACAGGAAAACTGAAAAACCAAACTGAATGAACCGAGTCAATGTTCGATCATTGAACAAGTCAAAAGATTTGAAAAAGATAAAAACTTACCATCAAACAAAATGTTAGTTGTAGTAGTAGTAGTAGTATCATAAAATAACTTGTTGTTGTTGTTGTTGTTGTTGTTATCGGTCTATTCGTCAAGATATATTCAATTTCGATCCAAACAATCGTCACACATGCCGTTATCGGTGGGATAAAGTTACACTTGTGCTTGCACAAACACATAAACACACACCCATATGTAAATGCAAAGACAAGTGTTCATTGACATTATTTCAGACCAGTAGTTTATGTACGATGATACGATGTACGATGGTGATGATGATGGGTTGATTTTAATCCAAGCAAACAAAACACCAAGAAACCAGAAACGAATCAAATCAAATCAAAAGAAAAACAAAACAGACAAGTTGTCGTTTGTTGTTGATATACATGTAAAACACAGCAATCACCCGACAAAGGACCAGATTCAATCAAACTAACCAATGGTTTAGGAATGAACCACCACAGCAAACAACGAAGAAACAAACTTTGTTGATAGATTCATTCGTTCGTGGATAAAGAATAAATATAACTGACTTGGCTAGCTTCACTGGTTGAATGAATCATATACAACGACGATACGATGATGGAAACCAAATGGTTGGTTGCGAGTTGCGTTGTGCTGTTCAACGATGGTTTTTCCTTTTTCTTTATTCTACATCATGCACAATACACAAAACCATGAAGAAGATCGTAGTCGGCGGTCGTCATCTTAATCATCACCAGAAAAACTTGAAAATGGCAGCCAATCCATGTCGGTTTGTTTCGCCGGTCGCGGTCCTCTTTTGTTTGTTTGTGTAGGCTAAATAACCAAGTTTATATTGCCAAAAACCATGTCTATGCCAGAAAAAACAAAACATTGGATTTGATGCTGCCAATCAACATTTGTTCATCACGATAATGATGATGAATAAACAAGCAACCCTTGACATGAATGGCTATCCAAGCTTAAAAATGATTCGTTCACGCAATTTTAATTTAACACACACACACACAAGTGTGAAAATGACACTTTACTCGCAGTAATTGTAAGCTTAGAATATTATATCATCACACACAGTTTTGGTGTTGGATTATGAGTGAAGTGAGCAAATCTCCAATTGGTCACTGTTTATAGAATGAGACATATTCAAAAATTGAGTTCAAATTATGAATATGATTCAATCATAATGACGACAACCAATGCTCAAGTTCACTGTACTCATCAAATTCAGTTAGATTTTCGTATAAACATCGTTATCATAATCAAAATGATGTACTTTGCATTATCATCAAACATTTGTTTCAATTTATAGCTATAGCAAGTGTTTGAATGTAAAAATAGAAATACCACCATAGATATAACTCAGGTTCATGTGACTTTTTCTTTCAATCAAAACGTGACATACAAGATTCACTCATTAATTCATTCATTCATTCATTACGTTGATCTTAATCTATGAACAAGGAAAGATTGAAAAATTCATACAAACAGCATATGATAGTGTTTAATAATCATCACCACCACCAGACCAGAGGCGAATCAGAAAAACAAAGCAAACCATCTGTTCATCAATGATTGCGTTTCTGACAGAACAATATGGCAATTTTTCACCAGAATTTAGCTTTAACTTTTAATTTGTCGAATAAATCACAATTCTTTTTTTTGAAAACATGACACTCTCCATTGGTGGTACATTTCAAAGTTCTGGCAATTTCAAAATTCAATTAGGAAGACATTGATCATGATCAGTGTTGTGTTTACATCATAAACTCAATATATAAATTCTATATGGTCACAAGCCACAGCCCAACATCCTCTTTAACTTTGAGTTTTTTTTTATAGAAATGAAATTCAGGAAGCTCGATTCTGGCTTATTCAATGATGATAAATGGTGTTCTGGATTCTGTCCAAAATGTCAATAATGGATAAATGAATGGCACACGCATATATAATGGAATCTTTTTTCTGTGTTAAACTTTATGACTTTCAATAAATCAAGGTCATGGGCCATGCAAATCTATCTATCAACGGAAACGTTTGACAAGTGATTGAGCGGCCAATTTCTTCTCAAAAATCTAAACATGTGCCACAACGACAACTCACAAAAATCAATATTTAATTTTTCACTGCAAAGACAAGTGCCTTGGTCAGATGGTTGTCACATGTTTTCTCTCTCTCTCTGCAATATCATTTCTAGGTCACAATCACAATGGCAATCATAATTCATTGAAAAAAGGTCGACAACAATTTTTATTGTCAGTAATTCGATAATGATCAATCAATCTCTTTCGCCGATTTATTAATCATTATCTTAACCCTTTGGTTTTTTCCAGGAAAAACCAAAAATAGTTTTTCAATAGTTTTTCAATTGGAAAACATACTCAACAAATATGGGGATGGAACATTTCAATTGATTAATTTGTACCTACATTCCACTGTATCCGAGGAAAGGGTTAAAATTTGCGTTTCTGGAAGATGGATGCCATTGTTTTATATAAAAACGTGGCACATCCATCATGGAACCAACCAGTCAATATTACAATACAATTAAAATGAAATTCGCTCTGACATTTGTCATTCTTTTGGTGTTTAGCATTTACCACAACAACAATGCTAGCCCGACATCGATCCGTACATTTGAAGAGTTCAAAGTAAGTTTGCTTCACTCTCATTTTTTCACTCCACTTATTGATCATTTTCTCGGTAGCGACAATTCAATAAACAATACCAAAGTATTGAACATGAGGAAATTGCACGAAAAAATTTCCAAGAAACATTGCAATACGTTCAAGCCAATCAAGATAAGGCAGTCATCAATGAATATGCTGATTTGGTTTGTATATTTCACAATTACAATGATAATGATTGATTAATGATCAAATTATAGTCGGCCGAAGAATTCGCCGATGGATATTTAATGAATGTCCAAGATGTCCAAGATTTAGAAGCAGAAATGGATGCACACAAAGAATATTTTGATGATCCGGATTGTGAATTGCATGGAGATTTTAACCCACCCAAGGAATTTGATTTACGTCCACATCTAACACCAATCAAAAAACAAATAAAAAACTGTGGTTGCTGCTGGGCTCTATCTACCATATCTTGCGTGGAAACAGCATATTTGGCTCAAAAAAATGTCTCATTACAACTATCGACACAAGAATTGGTCAATTGCGCCAAAGAACACGGTTGTAAGAAAGGCACTGTTCTTGACGGCATCGAGTACATTATGGCCAATGGAACTACCACCGAAGAAGCTTGTCCATTCATATCTGAGGTTTGAAGTTTTCATATTTTTCCTCATTGATCAATATTAAACGCATTCAAACAGGAAAGCACCTGCGATCAATCAAAAAATCCGAGATATGAAATAAGCAATTGGTGCTATTTTAAACCTGTCGAAGATGATATACGAAAAAATCTAGTTCTGAGACGAACTTCTGTTTCGGTTTCGATGAACATTAAAAATCTAAAAGCTTTCGTCCATTACGAGTATGAAAAAGCAATAGCAAATCATTTCATTTCATTCCATTCTGTTTTCTCATTTCTAGTGGATCATTCGTCATCAGAGAAAATTCCTTTCCATCTATAGGCAATAAATCGTACCATGCTGTTAACATTGTCGGCTTCGGAACTAAAGACGACATCGATCATTGGATTGTACGGAATAGTTGGGGGGAAAAGTGGGGAGACAAAGGTTACTTTTACGTGGAAAGGGACATCAACTTATGGGGAATCAAAGATTGGGCATTTACAACTATTGTCTGAAAAAAAATTAAACAAACTTGATTTCAATTTCAATAATTTTCAAATCATTATTCATTTGGATCCAAAATAAAAAATCTTGAAAACGCAAACATTAATGAGCAATCTTTTTTTTGTTAAAAATCAAGTGCTATAAGATTATTGATAGCACTTGATCACCGTGGTTCGTGCATTTTCCTGTTGAAAAACCAATCATTAAATCTATCCAAATAAGTAATTGTAACAACAAAAGCCATGTAAATTTGCTATTTTTGCCATATTTATCCGGTGAAATGAAGATCATATCAAACAGATATTAGCACAAAACTTCGGTCATCATTGGCATTAAAGATTGGAGCCAGTTTCGTTTCTATGAGTATGGATTGAGATAAATCAATTAACCAATTGATTGTATAGTGGCAAATCGATAATAAAAGAAGATGCAGGATATGGTACCAGTAAAGATAATGTCGACTATTGGATACTAAAACATAGCTGCAATATAACATGGGGTAATCAAGGATTTTTCTATCTGCAAATGTACCACAATATCATCATCATCATCATCAGTAATTAAAGTAATCAATCACTAAATCAATTTATGTAATTGAGATACCGGTTCAATTTTGCCCACTGATAACAGAAATTTCTATATAAATCATCTTCATGAGCAAACCGATTTGTTGATTCAAATCCAAAAAGTGAAAATGAAATCATCATCAATCGCCATCTTGGTGCTTGTGTTGGGCATCGTCAATGCTCGTCCAGCATCGATCACAACTTTCGAAGAGTACAAAGTAAGATAAAACGACGACGAAACTTGATGACAATTAATGATTCTCTCTGGTGTCTTTTTCAAAATGTAGCAAGCTTTCGGTAAGAAATATGAAAGTATCGAACAGGAAATGGAAGCTCGGAAAAATTTTCTCGAATCCTTGCAATTTGTCCAAGAAAATAAAGGAGCTGCCATCAATCATTTATCCGATTTGGTTTGTATTGAATTTTCGTAGCCCATAAATGTACTGAATATACTCTGTACTAATTGCAATTAATTGATATTTTTAGTCATTGCAACAATTCGAAAATACATACATGATGAGTCGAGAATCGTATGAAGCTACTGTCCGTGCTCAATTGAGTGCCAAATTAGACTTTTGCGAAATCACTGCTCGCACTACAATAGCAGCATTGGATTTACGTTCATTGAATCATCTGACACCGATCCGTGATCAAGGTGCATGTGGTTCATGTTGGGCTTTTGCCGGTGTAGCTGCTGTTGAATCAGCATATTTAGCGTACAAAAATCAAACGCTCAATTTAGCCGAACAAGAGTTGGTCGATTGTGCTGCAAACCGGGGCTGTCATGGTGATACCGTGCCAAGAGGTCTTGATTATATCCAAGAAAATGGTATTGTCGAAGAACAAGTCTACGAATACAATGCAAGAGTAAGTTAAATTCGAACACATTCACACAGATATAATGACAAATTTCAAAATTCTTTCATGCTTCAAAGGAAAACTATTGTGAACCGCCGGAAAAAACAAGACATTCCATCCAACAATATTGTCAGATTGATCATTCTAATGTTCACTTGATTAAAACAGCTTTGGATACTCACAGATCGGCACTTGCTGTCATCATCAACATTCATAACATCAACGCTTTCCGTCATTATGAGTATGTTCACTGTGTTCATTATATCATAATATATCATTGATTGAAACTTACTTACCGTTTTGTCCACAGTGGAAGTTATGTTATGAGAAGCGATCGTGGTATCCTTCCACATTATCATGCTGTAAACATTGTCGGTTACGGAACAACATCCGAAGGCGTCGAGTATTGGATAGTACGTAATAGCTGGAGCGATAGCTGGGGGGACAACGGATTTGGATATTTTGAATTGGATGAAGATCTCATGCAAATAGAACAATATCCGTATTTGGTTGTGTCATTGTAAACATTTTAAAAAATTTCTAATTCGAATTCTCTGAGTAATTTTATCAATAAAAAATCATCTGCCATGAGAGTATATGTTTAATCACTGAACAGCAGATGAAATGATTGCAAACCGTGATTCAGCTGCCATCTGTTGATCGCTCAAAGCAAATATGATGATCAAATTTTCGAACTATTAGAACAGTTGGATATTTATAACCACAAATGATTTTTTTTTCGAATTCGTTCACGTGCAAACTTTAGTCTTTCTTTTCTCACCACTGACAATGACAATGATCAATTCGCCCTTATCAGGTCAAACAATTGTCGATAATTCATCGATGATTTCTGCAACAATTCAAAAACCTATTGCAAGTTCTTCCGGCGATGATTATGATATCAATAATGATAATCAGGTGAAAATCTTACAACAACAGCAGCAGCAGTTATCGTTTAGTAGTTCGAATTATCTGCCGAAACAGGCACCAGGCAGTTTGTTGAATTTTTGTGTACGAAATAAAATTGATGTTTATTCATTGGAAAATCGTATCGATTATCATCTATCGCGCATAATGAAAGGTCATCGATTGATTAATTTCAAAAATTCCATTGAACGTCTACCGATCGAAAAACGAATCTGTGAATGTATCATTGAAATATTGGTAATGTCATTTTTTTTGATGTAATAATCTTGTTGCTAATCTAATTTTTTTTACCAGATGTCAACATTGAATCTGATTGCACGGAAAACACGTACAATCATCAATGCAAAAGCAGCTATCGATGCATTGAAAGAATATTCGGCAAACACACAATCGGAACAGCAGGTGGCACAGATCCAGATGGAATTTGTGGAGAAAATTCGCGAAATTCGTACAATTTCCATCAATTTAGAACAGATAGTATGGGCATTGAATTCGAATAAAGAACATATCAGATATATTGCCAAAGTATTTCAGATACCCGAACATTACAAACGAAGTGAATTTCAACAGGATCCAAACTCGATTTTCCAATTGAAACAATCCGTCATCAATACGGTTCACCAATGTCATGAAGTGATCAATGTATGTCGAATACTTCGACGACAGATGCAAACAGTTGTCATTGAAGTTTATCTGAAACATTTTAGCGATCAAAGCCAAATGAATTAAATTCAACCGAATGAATTGAAAAATGATAAATTTTCTCTCTTTTCATCTTCTCTTTTTTAATATTTAGATTAGAAAAATTCACGCCGTTTTTCATACATTTTAAACTTGAAAATTTTCATATAAACACAAATGACTCAATGTCTGTGTGTGTTTGTGTGATGAGTTTCAATTAATGCACTTTGATTTCACAAATAAATTAAAATGAATCAATAGTTCAATGTTCATGTACAAATGTGCAGCACACACTCACAGACACACAAAATCTCAATTCAACAATCATATATGATTATGATGATGATGTACAATTAAAATTGAAAAATTCCATAAATAAATTAACAATAAACAATAATGATGATCGAAAGCAAAGTAAAGTAATAGGAAAAAAGCCAAGAAAATCCAAGCCAACATTTAACAGCAACAAAAACAAAACAAAAAAAACGAAACGGGAAGACACAATAGGTGTACAAAGAGTATTGAAATTTTTGAGACCATCAAGTATAATCAATTATTTGGCTCGAAAAAAATTTCTTCAATTTTCATAATTGAGTGGGTGTGTAAAGTCCAGAATAAAACAAACGAAAAAACCCGAGTGAGTTGTGCTAACAAGTTATCATCAACAAATGTGAATGCATATATTATATAGTGAGTGAGTGAATTCATTGAGATCAGCTTTTCCTATCATAACGTGATGATAATCTTTGGTCCGAATTTGAATGTTGCAGTAGTTCCGTATTGTCGAGATAATCATCTTCGGTCTATGATGAAAGAAAAAAAAACATTAAAATTGGGAATATTCGAGACAAACAAAAGAATCTCACTTCAAGCCGTATGGCCGGTGTAGATCCTGTTGCCGATGCTAATAATGTTACACTACCGTAACGTTGTGTCGTTGTTGTTGTTGTTGCTGCTGCTGCTGCTGTCAATTGTTGATTAGTTGACCAACAAATTCGTCTTAAATCATCATCATTACCATTGCGACGCACGAATATCGATGAACCAGATGATGTTGTTGGCGTCGATGTGGGTAGCACAATATCCAATGAATGTCTTATGGTTACTTTGCGTTTAGAATAACGATGAGAACTTGGTACTGAATCAACACGACGATGTGGATTGATTGAATGTCGTTCCACCATTGTCATCTGACAATAATAATTGATCATAATACTTAGCATTTTTGTTAGAAACAAGAGAGAAAAAAGGAAAACAAATACGAGGATGGATATATCCAACAACAAGCGATACAAGAACACACACACACACACAAACAAACAAGACAAAAAAAAAAAAAAAGAAAGAGAAAACAAGAATTTTTTGAAGAAAAAAAATATTTGGTTAGGATTGAGATTAATTTCAATTCAAGAAATAAAGTTTTTATTACAAGGTTACACAATGGTTCTTGGACGCAATTATTAGAAACCAAAAAAGAAAAAATTCAACTCAATCATCATCATATCAAGGACATTTATATTTATTCTACACACACACACACACATAAACAACAATCAAGGAAAACGGGACTTGCAAATTTTAAATCTAGAAAAACATTTCTTTTTCAGTTACCAAGTCATTACATCCAAGAACGAACCTTGTTTAAATTACGTGTTGCAATCGTCGTTGACGTTGTTGTTGTTGCTGCTGATTTGTTCGATGATGACACATCGGCCGTTGATGATGAGGAATAGTCGTCGGCTATCGATGGATCTTGTTGTTGATCATCGATAAATTGTCTTATTGAACACAATTCACATTCCTTTTCCATCGCACATTTTATACATTTTGGTTGGCCACCAAATGCTGTAGCGACTGTCATTGTCGGTGTTGTTAATGTCAATTCAGGGTCCGGTGTATATAATGATGAAAACAATGATGATGCATTTGTTATCGTATTCGATATAGTCGTTGTTACTGTTGTTACTGTTGGTGATTCCGCACACATTGAACACGTTATTGATTGTTGATGTTTATTGTTATTGATGCCCGAATTCGAGGACGGATGTATTTGTGATTGTGAATGATGATGGGGATGGTGATAATGGTGGTGATGATATGGATGATGATGACCATTTGATGATTTCATTATGGTCGTGGCAGTTGAGGTTATCGATTTTAATGATTGGCTTGAATTGTTGGCTTGAATATCACCAGTAATTATAGCCATATTACTACCAGCAACAATATCATCATCATTTGAAGTAGTAAAAATTAATGAGGAAGAATTCGGAATATTTGAGCTCAAATTTCGTTGTTGTTGTTGTTGTTGTTGTTGACAAATGATGATCGATGATGTTGATTGTTGTTGTTGTGGCGATTGTTTTGAAGACATTTGCTGGTGATATTGTATCGTGGGAGAATGATGGTGATGATAATGTGGATGGTGTGATAATGATTGTTGTTGCTGCTGATTTAATTGTGATTGATCATTATCAATACAAGAACGATATGGTTGAGATGGAGGTGGTGGTGGTGGTGGGTGTTGTTGTTGCTGTTGTTGTTGTTTACGCATTTTTCGATCTTCCAAATACATTTCGAGCAGATTTTCCAATTTGGTTTCGATATCTTCCACTGTACGTTCAACTTTGACAATACGTGATGCAAGACTAACTTTGGACTCATAAACATCTTTGGCTTTGGAACCAACTTTGCCCAATATTAAATCGAGTCTGTGAAAAAAGAAAATATCCAATTAATTAACAAATTGAACGAATCATCGTGATACCTGGTTTGAATATTTTTAACACGGGCCAATAGATCAACATGACCAGCTGAGTATTGTTCAATCACATCTTTAACATCATATGGTTTTAGCGCTTCTTTGAATTTTCGTCGTGCGACAAAATATTTAATCTGCCAATGATGTAGTATTATTTAGTGGAAAAAATGACAGCAACATTACAAAACTCACCTTACGAAGACAACGAATGGCATTTTTGTGCTGTTTGGTCAGGATTGTGAATCGAGGCTGATGTTCTTCAATATCATCATCTAATTGAAAAAAAATGAAAGAAATGATTATGATCATACAACATTAAGTTTGGATCAACATTTTTTCGTTCCGATGGAATACAATTTCCAGTTTAGCCGATACAATGGCCAACTTTGTAAACAAGAATGTATGGAAATAAAGCGAAAAACAGAATAGAAATGAATTGAGATAGAATAGAATAGAACAGAATAGAGAAGAATTGAATTGAATTGAGTATTATGGAAGAAAGCATTGGAAATGTTACCCAGGAAAACACCATTCTAGTGACATGAAAAAAAAGCTCACAACATAAAATGAATGTGTGTGAAACAAAACAAAACAATAAGAAGCCAATTAGAAGACACGTGTTGCGTATATATACACATATAGGAGATTGAAAAGCATTTGAAATTGCATCATAGCCAAATTCGATTGCATTTGATTTGATTGATTGATTAATTGCTTACCAAACATTGTGCCACCATCATCTGAACTTGCACAGCTGCTATTATTATGACGATGACTACCGAAACCATGTTGATGTCGTCGTTGAGTGTTTGGCATTGTGAATGGAAAAAATGTACCAGAACAGATGAAACTACTCATCATCTGTGCACTTTGATTATTCTCATTCTCATTATTGTTTTGTTGTTGATCACCACGACCTGATTTTCATATATTTGCACATTTAACAATCAATATAGACAGGAATTAAATTAGCACAATTTTTTTTTCTCTTGAAACAATTGGGTAATGGGTGGAAGAAAGTGGACACGAATAAGCATTTTGAATTGGAAACAATGAGGACATGTGTGAGTGAGGATTGGCTACTAATCGAATGAACTGAGGTAGCGAAAAACAACAACAAATTGCTACAATTGCTAATTACAACAAGTGTGTCAGTGTGAGTTAAAATAGTCATTGGGTCCGTGAGAAAAAGATGCACGCATCAACAACAACAAACACAAGAGATACATGAATCGAACCTGAACAATGATGATGTTGATGTCCTGCCGCATGGAATAATGCCGGTTGACAATGTGCTTGTGTTGCGGCTGCTGATGTTGTTGTTGTTGTTGTTGGAAATGGCGGAAAATTTTGATCATGACTCCCGAGAAATGTCGGTGTCAGTGTTAGAAACGGTGGATGCTGATATTCTTTTTGTAACATTTGACATAAGTGAATGAATGGCGGCATTGTGGTGGCTGAACGGTGTTGTTGTGAATTATCATCATCATCATCATCATCATTCTGTCCAATTGTGTGAACCATTGTTTTACCAATGTTCTCTAAATATATTTTGTCGATCGATAACAATTGTATTACAAATATGTGGTACCCAATTCTATCCTAATGGTTTGTTCATTTAAATTCACTTGCCCCGTTTCATCATCATCATCATTGATAGTTTTTTCCATTTACCATTTCATTTATAGATATAATATAATATACTCACCATCAGAATTTCGTTTGGAAAATTCCGAAAGTTCTTTGGCTAAAACACTATCTTCGCTCACACTCCCGGGTATACGAGAATCACGTCCACCGCCAATTGTGGTACTGACCAATGAATCCTCGCGAACATTACCGGTAGATGTTTCGAATGTTGATCCAGTTGCAACGGGAGCCTGACAGCCAGTGCTACCGCCACCATTGTTTCCTCCACCATAACGGCCACCAGACCGTGTTAGTGGTGAATGTGTTGCCGATTTATGTGAACGACGAATTGTGGAGAAACGGCTAACAAATGATGTGTTGTGCTTGAAACTGCTATAAAATTGGTTGTGAAAACACAAACAACCGATTGAAATGCATAAATTGCAATCCGAAATTATGTGAGAAAAAAAACCTACACAGACGGACTGGGCAATGGAACTTGATGAACTTTCCATGTTGCAATAGACATTGAATTCTCATCCGCTGCATAACATCTCCAAAGGCATTGTATTAATGTAGCTGCCGGAACTCGTCGTCGAATCATGTGTTTTTGTCGTTGTTGTTGCTGTACTTTTAGCGCGAAACCTGATCCCAGAATACCCTAGGATTATTGTTTGGGTATAAAATATCAAATTTACAGAATGAATTCATTTCATTTTCCAAAAACTAATTTTCCATACTCACAGCAGGTAGGGCAAAAAACGAAATGCCCAACAATGCACAAAACGAGGCAACCAATTTTCCTGGCCATGTTTGTGGAACGAGATCACCATAGCCAACTGTGCTTAATGTTATCTATTGTTGGCCAAAGGACAAACATGAACATGAAACTCATCATCGCTTCACTCAATCAATAATGGATACTAACCACACCCCACCATAAGGCATCTGCATAATTGGTGAATTTTTCCGGATGAACACCTTTCTCCGAAAGATATACTAAAAATGATGAGAAAATTAGGCCCAAAAAACCAATGTAAACGGTGGTAATTAATTCTTGTCGATGAGCATATACTACAGATCCTGTAATGATCATCATCATGATGTTAGGTTAATGCCAATTCATTTCAATTGTTTTTTCTACCTAATAGTTTCCAAGTGCCACCACGACGATCCATACGGACCATACGTAAAATTTGAAAAAAACGAAGGCCTCGTAATGCTGAGGCAGCGAACACTTGACCCGAACTGCCCAATGAAAGTACTACTGTTGATGCTACTATCACAATCAAATCTATGGATGTTCAATGTGGACAATGATGAAAATCAATTGCTTGAATCAAACACGATTAACCACAAACCTATAACACAGAATGGACTGCGTAAAAATCGAAGCCGACCCATCCATCCTTGATAACGAGAACGACATCCAGCCGACCACATACGAAGCATAAATTCCATGGCGAACCAAACTACCATAACGATTTCCTATTATTGATCAAACCATCAGATCATCAGTGCAAATCACTCACAAGAATCAATGTAATACATACCATCTTGAGTAGAATACGTGATGCCACCTCTTCATATTGGTCGATCGTTGAGAATACGGTAAGAACCAGGCAAGCAAACACCATAAAAAACCTGTAAAAATATTGATATACAGATGAATAATAAATAAATGAACAACGAATGAGAAAAATGAACATAGTCAATAAGAATAAAGAAATGCAATCTATTGCAATTGAATGGCAATGTTTTGTCTGTGTGTGTGTGTTGTTTGGAATTCGGGATATTTATTATATTTAGGGCAGAGCAGAATATTTGAATTTCATTTCATTCATTCTGCAACTCAATTCAATTCTTGTCATACCATCCAATCAGAATGAGAAAATAGGACATTGGACGGCAAATTTTTCTTTTGGAAAAAAATTGAATAAGAAACTCACACCATAATATGATAGGAAATTGATAGTTTTCCATTTGGTAATTCAAAAAAATTATTTACAATCATTTGATAGCGACGAAATTGTTGATCGTGTCGCCAACAATAATATTCTGGCCGATTATAATTGACAAAGCTGCCTGTACGGCCATATGTCCCCATTAATGATCCACCATGTTGATGTTGACGTAACATCCGTATTCGTTTGAATGGCTGTTGTTTCATTCCATCATCACCATCATCATTGAAGTCATGGCAAGCAGCCATTGTTATTGATGGTGGGTGGTGATGATGTTTGGAAAAAGGAGCCGATAAACGTTTCCACACATTTTGTCGTTGATTGTTTGCATCATTACTATTGTCATTATTATCCATTACAATGACCGAAGATTTTGCCATTGTCGATGTATTGTTAGATTTAATCATTGTCGGACATTGATTTTGTTCACATTCATAATCTAATCTTATTAGCATTGTATTGACCATCGTTAACATGGTTATCATGTGGCCATGATTTCAGTCTCATCATTGAAAATCACAAAATTATCATACAAAAACATATGAGTTTTGCTCAACACACACACACACACACACACACAGCATATGAAGCAAAGTCAATTGACGATGGTGTTGTGATGTTAAAAAGGAAAAAATTTCAAATTTCAAATTTGATTCTTGCATCAGATGGTGAACATTGGTGGTCAAAACAAATGATGACAGGTGTTGTGTAATGAGAATAGATGTAAATTTGATTTCATTTTCTTTCATTATCATTTCAAAACAACAACAAAAAGACAATGAAAATGAAAATCCAAGAGTACACACACACACAAAAAGGAATCAACGAATGAGAAATGAAATGATGAAAAAATCAAAAATAAACCAAAAAAGCTCGAGGATACATGTACAGCGATGGGAAATGAAATAATCATACACGAATGGAACAAAATGCAGACGTAAAATTCATTGTAACACAATTGGACTCATTCATTCAATCACAGAATCACAATTCAAATGAACTCATGTGCCAATGTTTGCTGCTGTTGCTTCTGGGTTTTTTAGTCATATTTTGCCCTCTCTCATTCTTTCCTGTTTCGCGTCAAATAACACTTTCAAATAACAATAATTCAATCAAGTGATCACGGTGAACAAAGTCAAATACTTTCTTAATCAATCGCTTATCAGCGTCATCAATTTTTTCCATTGTTTTGATTTGAGATTTTCTCTCTCTCTCTCTCTCTCTCTCTCTCTCTCTTCTCTTTGGTTAGAAATTCTTTCATAAAAAATGTGCATTCCAAATAATGTGTGCAAACGTTAAGTAGATAATAGAGACGAGACAGCAGAAAATAAAAGGAACACACGACTGATAATACAACTACGACAATGACGATAAAAATGAAAAAAAAGAACTGAACAGAGTTATTCTAGAATTCTGGATTCACACACACGCACGCATAAACACGCACACTAGAGTCATTCATTTTTTGTCTCATCTTTTATTAGCATACAAGTCAGGCACTTTGATGCCGTTGTCATCACATAGATTGACTCAGACTAAGTAATTTTCGCATGAAAAATGAAAACCAAAATCAAGTGAAAGGTTTGCTGCACACACACACACACACACACAAACCTATACCTGAGCAAAAATCATTTGGAAATTATGAAATTCATATTTTGTCAGCCACTCGAAATGATAATATATGAGCAATGAATGAATGATAAACAAGGAGTGCAACAAAAACAATCCAATTGTGGCAATGTCGATTTGTTTCCATCCTCTTCTCTTGGTCTCTCTAAATATAATCAAAAATTGCCAAATGACTTGAATCGTTTGGTTTTTTCTCCGTTTCTCCGTTGCACAGAAAAGTACCGATTGATACTCGAAAATGAAAAAAACAGTGTGAGCAACGCACAAAAGGGAATCAAGTTGTAGTGAATGAGAATGAATGAAGATAATTTTCGACATCAAATTACCCTTATCAAATACCGTCATTTGCAATCGATCTTTCTCTCTCTCTCTCTCTCTCTCTCTCTCTCTCGTTTTCCTTCCGCCAACTTTATAGGAAAAAATTCGATTGTTCAACTTTACTTTCTTTGTTCTCTGTGGTTCATAAAAATTCCTGTGAACAAGTAGTACCTTTTCATTTAAGAGTTTCGTCTTTCTTCCACCGTCATCATCAAAATAGACAGAAAGTGTGCGGAAGAAAAATTACTGCACTCATAAAAAATAGACGTACACCCATACATTCAAATATCAAACCCATGAAAATCTATGTCACGCTTGGGAATGAATGGTTGAAAATAATGAAAAAAAAAATAGAATCAAAAAGTTATGAATCGAAATAACGGTAAAACATTGGCACAATTTTAGTCTTGTTGAAAATTTCAAAAATTGAGCCATTCAGATAGTCAAGTGATAAAAGAAATCAGTGATGATGAGAAAAATGCAACATTTTGTGTGTTTGGCTTATCTAGATCCATTATGATTTAGGACAACTTTCAGTGAATGGACAAAACACCACTGTTGTTTGCTCATTGAAGCATTCTTGTCGGCTCCATCCGCATATAAACAGTGAACAAACAAAGAACGACGAATAAAAAACAAACACCAAAACAACAAAAAAACAATCAAAACATGCAATGATGATGATAATAAATATGACAAAGCAAGAAAAAAAACATTTCAACCAACTACGACAAACAAAAACAACCAGATAGCGGTGAATCCATTAAAAGTTCCATAATAATCAATTATCACTGCCACAAAGGAATCAAGTAGACAGAAGAACAAAACTAAACTTTGGTCATCACATTCTATACTTGTTGTTGTTGTTGTTCATCCACACGTACACACACACAATTTGGTCATGTGGTTGTTGTTTTTCATGGTGGACCGACTAATCGTTATCATCATTCTTGTTTTGGTTGCAACTTCAAAATGGACAAATGAAAAAATGATCAAAGTAATTCTCTTCTCATCATCACTACGGTGGTGAAAATTTTTTCATTTCACTCATCCATTCCTTTCAAATATTAATTCTGCTGTCACTTGAATTTCGTTCATTATAATAATGAATGCTTTTTTGTTGCTTCATTCAATAGTTTAGACTCAAGGAAAATCCAAACTAATGAAACAGCGTCAATAATAATAAAACGATATAGGTGGCCATGTGTTTGAATATTAATCTTTTCCTATTTTTCGCCACTGTCGTGTTAATTAATAAATAATTCTGTCCATTTATGAGCCAAATGAACACTGAACACTTATGACAACCAAAATAATGGATGCAACCAACACCACACACATACAAACACAAAGACACACCGTTCACGCAATGCTGAAGTTGATGTTTGATGTTTCACTTAAGAAAAATTATTAATCATCATCCAAACATGAACAGAGAGAAGAAAATTGTTAGTCAATAATTTTCGGTGTGATTTTTTCCTTCTCCTTTATTCCTACAAAACCAGCAATAATAATGATAATGATAACTAGTAGATAATCATAGTTGACTCTGACACAATCGAGAAATATTTTATATTCACTTGTGTTGTTAATAACAAATGAAGGCACTGATCATCCAATTTATCAAATAACAAAATTAAAAAACTCGAGCACCACACAGTAGTAGAGTAGACAAAATACTTGGAGATAAATTGGAAAAATATTCTCATTATCTGTCCCATTGATGATAACTTTGTTGAATTCTACGTTTTTGATTTCAGTCAAAGCATACATTTATGGAAATTTAACAGAGTCGATGGAATGAAATATTTACCAAATATTATTATTATTCAATCCATTTCCAGAATTCTTTCACACACACACACACACACAACCACACACTGATGGATGAAAATATTTGGCTCACAAATACAGAGTTCATATTAGGCATGTTCTCTTCTCTTCCTTTCGTCATTTGGACAATCAGTCAAATAGAACCGAATCAACCGAATCAATCGAAAATTCCATTTTATCATATACAGTAGACAAATCAACGACTACCACCATCATCATCATCATAAGGCATATGAAATGAAAATGAATATCATATCACCATATTGTGGACAGTGGTTGATCCGAAATATTCATTTAAAATGGGTGCAGAGAAAAACCCATCACATAGATGAATGCGTCATTTACAAAAAAAAACATATTTTTCAATACCAGATATCATAACAAATTAAACTTCATGTTTTCAATAGTTTAAATGGAATTTTTCTATTTTCTTTTCAAAGAAAAACAACACGACAGAATTGCAATTCTCAAATTGAGGAGTTTGATCATCATCCATAGAGACAAGGATTGAAGGTAGTGTGTGTGTGTGTGTGTGTGTGCAAAGTGGACAAAACATAGAAAAACGAAATTTTTTCAAACAAAAAAAGTATCGCCAATGAAAGCATCCCAATAGTTTTTAGTTTTGGTTCGAGATTGCTTTCATTCAGTGGTCATTTATTTTGTATTTATGAAAAATAACCTACTCTAATCCAAACAAAAAATGAAAAAATGAAAAGATACAAGAAAACAAACAGAGTAATGTCAAAATTGCCAAAATAGTTTCCGACTGAAATATTTCATGAAAAAAAAACCAATGATTTTTGTCAGATTCACTCAGATTAACGACAACAACAACATCCACCATCTATTACGCTGATGACGATGATGGTGATCACATTTATCAATTAAGTTCTCGATTTTCAATGAATTTCAGATTCATCACATTCGGGTTAGATTTCACATCCGAAATCCGGATAGAATTTCAATAATTCTATTTCTATGTTTTGACATCCCGGCACAGACACGGAAATGTCTTTTCAACAGAAAAAAACATTTTTATTGCCATATTTGCCCGTAACAGTTGTCACTCAATCTTCTTTTTGACCATGTTAGATGAACAGTCATCTTATCTTCTATCAAACTTGATGCAAATATTAATATTTGCAAAAAAATTACACTTACACTAGTCACTTACGCCATCTTGTACGAGAAAAAGGCAACGATTTTTGAATTTTCAATCAACAATTACAATGACATTACTCACATTGTTATATGGTAGAACATTGGTGAGCAACCACGTGGACGTTCAAGAAAATTATGTAGATCATTCTGTAATTGTTTATAACGTGGATTCGTAATATGACGATGTTGACGACAATGTATTGGCCGTCCTAATAAGCTAACACGATGCATTTGTGATCGTTTTGAGGCACGAAATGCGTTATACGCCGATGAACGATGAATTTGGTGACCAGAATTGGTCGATGAGCGTAAAAAACTAAGTAAATCGGATTCTCTGCGTATCTGGGCTTTTGTATCAGTTGTTTCATTTGATTCCATCGAATCACCATCATCATCAGCATTAAGATCGATACAATTTTCCATTTCGGTTTCTGGCATTTTTTTCGAATCTTCCGAATCGGATTGATTATCGTTATCGTTATCGTCAACACTATCATTATCATTTCCAACGGCAACAACGACCGAATCTGAATCAAGTTGTTCACGTGAATCATTGTCAATCGAATGTTGGTTATGCTGCTGCTGTTGATGATGATGGTGATGATGACGATAATGGCTATGATGATGATCCATAATGAACTCAACACGTCGTTTGAATGGCCTTCTTAATTGTTGTTGGCCATCTTTGTTTCCATCGCCACCAGCATCATAATGTTTGGTCAATTTGTCCATCTCCATTAATGATGATATCTTTTTCCATCTATGCAATTCAAGATAGGAATCATATTTATCATCATCATTGGTCATCAATTTTCCTGAGTTTGTTTCTTTGGCGATAATTTCATCCAATTCAATCGTTGTTGTCGTTGTGGTAGTCGTTTTGGTCGTTCTACGTAGACATTTATGTTGTGATTGTGAGTGACAATTTGATTTTGGATCGACAATAAAAATCAATGTTGTCTCATCTTGTTTGCCTTTTTCATCATCATCGTTATCGATCGGAAATGACTAAATAAATGGTCATATGATTTGAACATAAACAAAAACATCATGGTCATTTCAGAAAGAAAAATACAACAATTCAATACCAACTTTGACTTTGATATCGATTCGATTCTCATCATCATCATCATTATTACTACTGCAATAACCACCACCACCACCACCACCTGTTAGTTGACAACTTGGTGACTCCGGTGACGTTAATGTCAATGTTGATGCTGATGATTCTGAAGATTCAGTTACACAACAATAACATTGATTCGCTGTTGTTGTTGAGGTTATCGTAGTGCTGAGTGTATTGTCATCGTCATCATAATTGTTATTACAACTACAACAACAAGTTTCATTTGATGATAATGTCGTGGATGTATCGAATGATGAGGATTCACAAGACGGTTGTGATAGTGTTGATTCATTATTATTGCTACGATCAGTTTGTAATGAATCTGAATTGATCATAATTTCAAATGGAAAGTTTATCCAAATTCTTGGCCATATAACAATCACAATCACAATAATGATGATGATGTTGCATTCATTATTCTTGGTGATTATCACATTATTCTCTAATGCACAACGACAAACTATGATCACTGATGATGAAAATGTTATAATCGAATCAGTTTCATCATTCATTTGGAGATGACATAAATTCAAGCACATAATCAATTATAAATTCTTCATTCATGTTCGTTTCATTTCACATTTAATTATCTCAACTTGATCAAATACACACACATGTTTTTAACCTTGAACGAAAAAAAATTTAAAGAGTAGAAATCTTTGCCATTCATCACCATTATTCTAATTACCAGGTTAAAATGATGACAACAGGAATTTCAGGTTGCTGATGTCAGTATTCTAATGTGAATGAATGAATGAAGAACAAGAATTCAGGAATCGCATTTTTTCTCTCTCGCAAATGAAAAAAGAATATCTGAAACATGCGCGCACGAAAAAAAAGCCGACAAACATTTCAATATTGGCGGGTAGGAAATCCTGAAAACTCAATCACTCAATCATTGAAACAATAGTTTGGTTATTGTCAAGTACTATATTGATTGATAATATAGTACTTCGATGAGAACGGGTTCACTAATCACAATAAAGCCATCATCATCATAGTCGATGAGTGTCACTCATGAATCTGTGAAAACATTACCGACACACACACGTAAGATTTCGTGCTAGTGTCCAATGTACACTAATACTATTTAATATTTGCAAGTTTAAGTGGCCACAAACACGCCAAAAAAACAATAAATATATGGCCAATGTATAGAATAAATAATGCTAATAGACATTTCAACAGTATTCGATTTGAATTAGGATTTTAAAAAAACGTTCAGCATGAGTATGAGTGTGGCCCATTCTTTCGATAAGGAAACATTTTACTTTCTCCAAAACAAACAAATAAGCACCTACTAGCAATCATAATCATGGATCAGTGAATTTTATTTGAATCTGCTGGGATGCATCAATTAGCGAATGATTTTATTGCTAATATCAAGAAAGCTTTGAATTTATTTTCACGAAATTCATGTTCATCAATGTATTACATACAAATGGTATCTGATCTAGCAAAAAATGAAACCATTTCATGGAATAAATGCATCAGACATCAGGTAAATAGTCATCATGAAAGAATTATGATATCACCATCAACGGTAAACACTGAACAATAGCCAAAAACAAGAGAAAAACCATTATTCGGATCGTTTGTTGTTGTTGTCGGTACTGGATACCTACAGATAAATACAATTTAGAGCTACCTTGTCTGCAAATAATGTTCTTGTCGTCGAAATTATTTCCTTCGACAAGATTTCTATAGATCATTACTCTAGTATAATGACAAAAGGCGTGAAAAATGCAGTTACAATGTTAGAAAGGAAGCAAAGAATGAAAAGGAAATTGAATATAGTGCCCTGAGACCCAAACAAAAAAAAATTGAAAAGAAAAACTACCCGAATTCGGTACGATTTATTTGGACATGAAAAACATTGCATTCCATAGCAATGCTGTCCATACAAATATTGTATATCGAAATAGTGTTCGCTGTTGTGTTGCCGGCACCGAACCAACAAAAAAAATGACACCAAATATAAATTGATGTCGAGATTGTTGGCTCATTTTTTGTCATTGTCATTATTGTTGTTGTTATTCTACCTTAGACACACGGGCACATGACTACCTTATTCTCGCAGCCAGTGTTGATGACAACATCACATCGACAAACCTATGAACTCTAAGGTGGATAAAAAAATTTTTTCTTGTGAAACAGGATCTAATTTATAGTCAATGTCATACGAAATGACAACAGTCAGAAGCACGAATATAACAAATGATGACTGGTTTATGGGAAATTTTTTTCTCCATCTTTATTTTTTTGCCTTGTTCCAACCATACATTTGGAACAGAAAAAAGATGAAAAAATTTCCTCAGCAAAATACTGGTTCATGATAAATAAATGGTTGTTAATGAACAATGCTAATGCGTTTTTCTCCCCTACACTCGATTCGAATCATGCACTTTATTATTATTCGATCATTGGGATCAATATGCGAAAAAGGTGGGTTAATAATGAGTTTTTTCCTTCGAATCATTAAAAGCATTCAAAGGAAAAGAAAATGATTCCAGATGCCTTTCATAAACACTTTTCTTACATGAAACCATTATTTACCTTTGATCATATCGCACAACGACAATGATTGAGATGTGTGTGCGTGCGTGTGTATTTGTGAGAGAAGAGAGAGAGAAAATATAATAGATTTATTCAATTTCCAATCAATCATTGTTGAGGAAATGAATGAATGAAAAGAATTTTCACTTTTTTCATTTTTCTTAAACAGTAGTTCGTAAATTCGTTTTCAATTGCTATTGAGACTTTCGATTTGTTTGCTAGTAGAATCTTTTTGAACCATTTTAAGCTATGAAACTGTCGCATTTAATTGAAATTTAAATCAAAAATCAACATCATGGTCTCGAGGTGAAATCTTTTAGATTTCCAACACAAATTCCATGTTGCTCAAATCTCTGAAATAGTGTGCGAGGAAAAAACTTTTTCAATGTAGTGAAATTAAACAAAAATTCACTCATCAAGGTTTTCTCTCATTATCGATGGCTGATCAGAAAACAAAACAAAAGAAAAATTGAACTTTGTTGATTGTGATGTTGATGACGAATGACGAAAACGAAAATTAGATTATCATAAACAAATATAGAATCATCACATCACATTTGATTTAGATTCATCAATGATGATGGTCACCATATTGGTGATTGCAGAAAACTATTTTACAGACACGCGCACATTCAGTGTGTGTGTATCATTTGATTAGTCATTCAGATCACCACACCAGATTAATAATAATTCGTAGTTTTCGTTGTTATTTCGATTCAAAAGAAATTGTATTGAAAAAACCTTCATCATCATCATCAGAAAATCAAATCACATCACAAAAACAAAATTAAATACAACTAAAAAAATAATTTGGTGGATACCCACACACACGCACTCACAAAGCATACGCATGGAATGAATCAATAAAAATATTAACCAGATCAAGATTAAGTTCAAGACAAATGAATGATTTGGCTTTTAAAATTTGAAATTTAAAAATTAAAAAAAATTCAAAGATGAAGAATGTGAACAAGAACGAATAATGAATTGTGAATGACGAATCATTCGAAAATTCAAGCAAATTGACTACTGTATTATGCGTGTGTCAGTGTGTGTGTGTGGTATGGATCAACAAGACGATGAAAAGGAAAACATTGGAAACACTCAAAGTGCGCATGTTTTTTCGATTCAAAATGATTCTTTAATTCTGTTTGTTTGTTTTTTGCTGGTGGTTATGTTCAACGATGGAATAACGTAGAAGCGTTAAATTCGTGCAATTCGTCTAAAGGCCGGATAAATCTTTGTTGTTATTATTATGATTGGTTAGTAGTGAGAATCAGTTGTCTTCAACAATTTTATTTTTGATTTCTTCTGATTTGATTCGATTCAAAAGAAAGCCAATCAATGATACCGACACACATACTGAAAAATGTGATTTTTTGGAAAAACCAAAAAAATTCATTTTTGCCATCTTTGATGTTGATCATTAAAGCTTCCATCATCGCCCATGCTTTCAATATGGTTGTTGCCATGACATAATTCATACATTTCATACATTTAATGATTCTTCACCGAATAAAACATTTTCCATTCGCTGCAAATGTTGATGTTTTCTGATTTATCGAATTATGATATTTTTAGAGATGAATCGATATGAATCAACATTCATGATATCATTATTTAATGAATCAAATCATGATGAACATCATCATCTGGACGTCAATTTGGCTTTCACCGAAAAACAAAACAAAACAAAACAAAACGAAACGAAAAAAACGCACAAAAGAAATAATGAACGAAAGTTTGGTTCGTCCATAAATCACATATACTAAAGTACACAAACAGACATCAGTATAGACTTGTACTTGTGCAAATAACTAAAGTGCTCGTCAATCTTGAATTCCTCAAAAAACAAAAATCAAATGAAAATTTGAAAGTTTGCCTTTTTTTCGTTAAATAGAAAAGTATTAAATTCACATTCACGAAAAAAAGGCATTTCATAAGCAAAGTGAAGACGATACGATCACCGTCGATAGTTTTCACTAAAACATCTTGTATCCATCCAGCATTTTATTTTGATTTACAGAGAAAATATGTCAACAAAATGGAAAAAGGAAATCCGTTTCCATTTTATCATGCATTCTTTGGTCAAGGAAAAAATCATGATGAGAAAAATCCATTCATTCAGTCGATTCGAAATTGAATAATAAACTTGATTTCTCCATCACACAATTGACGATTATGAAATTTAAATGAAAAAAAAATTTTTCATAACCAATGTTCATGATTAACATGATGAAATTTTATTTTGCACATTCGTATGGGGGTTATCCACCATTCATCAGATTAGATTGGGTCCATTGTGTGACATCAACACCAACATCTACATATATCAAAACGTCAAGTTAACAATTAAAAACTATGGGAAAAATTAAAAATTTTCTCACAGGGATATATATGATATATGATATATGATAGCATTCTAATAATTGAAAAAGAAATTATTCTCTTTCTCACAACGACAACAATAACAATTGAATTCATTTGTTCCACTCTCGGGAATTGAATTACACTTGTAATAACCATATTTTATCATTTAGAATTCCAAGCCAAGGTGGAAAATGGTAATGTGATGTAAATTTCTGAGGATTAAAGTAGTGAACAAATATTTAAACTGACAAATTTTGCAAAAAAAAAGTTAAATTTTTGACGAAAGTTGACGTAAGTAGAGGGGGTAAGGTGTGCCGCACAGAATCATACTATGATTTTAATTTTCGAGTAAATGCTCTTTGGCCAAGTTTCATTATCTCACACAAAACACACATACACACAGCAGCAATAAAGAACATACTAATTATCGAGAGAGAATGATAATCCATGGTTATTCATGTTTGTTTGTTCTGCCGTTGTTTTCGTTGTTGGTAAATTTCAATATGGAAATATTACTAATCAATCGATGTCGATAACTATCAACGAGACAATGGTGAATGGCTAATCAACAATGGGCGTCATCTGTCTATCTATCGACATTTAATTGTTTTTTCTCCGTGTTCATTGTGTGATTCGTGTCAGAATTCGATTAATGTTAGATTCTGTTTGCACCATTTCCAATCATTTGCGTGAGTTTAGCTTAGTGTTTTACTCTCTTTCTCTGTTATGTCTGTATTTACCTTTGGAATTACATTGGAAATGAACAAAAATTCATGATAATTATTTGTCACACACACACAGAGTTATGAAAAGTTGGACAAAAATTTCAATTTGAAAATCATAAAATTTCCCAATTATTAATATGATGGAAAACGTAAATTGCTGAATGAAAGTAAAAAAGAGAGAAAAATGCAGTTAAATTAAAACTTCAACTGAAGTGTAATCGTTGTATTTATTTCCAAATTTCAGTCATTCTACAATCAACGGGTGTCAATCTGAATTCGGTACAAGATCAACAATGATGTCTGAGTGTTTGTGTGGGCGTAATTGTGTGTCGATGAACATTATGACGAGAAGTAAGCACCATTTTTCTTTCATCATCATCAAATCGTTCAGAATCTGATGATGATTATGATTACCTTTAAGAAAAAATGAAGGAAATTGCGAAAAAAAAGGAAAAACAAATGAAATATTTATGGTCGATGGATTTTGCTATATATTCCCAATGTCCATCATCATCATCATCATCATCATCATCATCAGTGATTACAATTTGTGTAATATGTTGTTGATTTTGGCTACTAAACTACATCTACCATTTGGTTATGTTTTGTTTTATTTATCTTTATTATTATTACATGGACATGTTGTTTTGTTATTTGAAATGTGTATGTGTGTGTGTGTGTGTGTTTTTGTCGATAAAATTATATAATCATGTTCATGTGTAATTATTATTCTATTCTATTGTAATGTATAAATAACCAAATTAGAAAAAAGTTCGCCAGATCAGAAATTCACCTGCCAATTCTTTAGTTGTTTTTTCCTTGTCATTTGCTACAAATATTTCATTATGGATCCATTCGGCAAATAAAAATCATTTACATTCCTGTCTATTCATCACGAAATTTGGATTAGACATAAGAAAATAATTAGAATTTTCTTCAAGGTAATGATTATAATCACGAAAAAAATCTACGTCCAAAGTCAACAGATGACGCCTGATGTTTTTTCTATCATAGATTATTGCATTATGGAATTGAATTGAATTCAAAAATTTCATTTCTTCCCAACCATTAAAAAACTTGAAATGAAAAAGTTTGCAATTATGCTCTGTTCATTATTTTGTATTGAAAAGACAAATTAAGCTTACATTGTAAATGATCATATCTCAAAAGTCAGCATTACAAAGTTATAAGTTATTATTATGTCAATTATAAATGAATTTGAATTTTGAAAACAATTTTCTGAGCAAGCAAATCATTATTTTTCATGTCTGTCTCTTTCTCATCATGCATTCATTCAGTTCAAACAAAACAAAAAGCAAAGACAAATTAAATTAAATTTCTTTCGTTCTGTGTTTTTATCATTTTGGCAACAACGACCAGAACAAATTATCCGGCCTAGAGGATTTCATAGAATTTATTTTCTACATCCATATGAATCACTAATTTTATCATTCGCTTTTGTTTCCTGGGCACCGGTGGCGGCATCATATTCATTTGTTGATGAATTAAATTCAATGCAAGTTTAAAATTCTTTTCACTCCCTTGTTCGTATATACGTGACATGGTTTTGGACCAGACAATGGTGATGATAGCACACACACACACACATCAAGGAAACTCGAGATGATGAAGGAGGATTTTTTTAGTTTTTTTATTCAAAATTAATTTATACATCCACTATTCATTCATGTCAGGTGCATAATTTTTTTGTTGTTTACTCTGTGCCGTACGTGATACCTGGGGTATAGATTTTGTTTTTTGTCAAACAAAAACAGACCAGATTTTTTCAATAGAAACATTTCCAAATTGCATTAGAAGGTTCGCAAGAGAAGAGATTATGAATCGAAAAAAAGTAAAGAAGAAAAAAATGCAAAAGTTTTAAAGTAGCAGAATTTTTTGTGAATGAAAAAATCTAACAAAATTTTGGGTAAGGTCACCAGCCGGATGGTTCGTTTCAATTTGATTGAATTGAATTTTGCTTGTTGGAAACTGGGTGAATGAATGAATCAATGAATATTCAAACTTTTCATTTAAAGTTGATGAATTTGTTTTTGCCTTTCTGTCAACCAGTAATGCTACCCACACAAAGACAGAGAGACTTATCAATGTCAATAAATTCAACGTTCCGGTTACCATGGCAATTTCAAATTCCATCCTCATCAAAAGGAACCAATCTTTAAATGATCACGATCAAAATTAATTCCTTTTCGTTCATCAAAACTGTTAACAATTCGGGAAATGACAAAAATCATAAATTCAAGTAGATATGAGGAAATTTTAAAAATTTAAACAAACAAAAAACAACCGGAAATAAACATTTGTGAGAAAAAACTTTCAAATCGCTTTTTCTGCTCGCATCTGCAAACAAAGACAACCATGTAGAAAAATATTTTCAGTGGCCATAAATCTTACAGTAGACATGAATGGAAAACATTAGTTTTGCCAGAATTTCGAGTATTAATGTTTGCAATAGGAAATTACTATTGGCTTGAAGAGAAATGGCAAACAAGTGAAACGTTTCAAACAGATAATGGACTACAACCAAAGAACAACAGAGCCCAGACAAACACACACACACACACAGAGAGAGAGAAGAAAAATTGGATGAATAAACAAAGAAATGAGAATCTGGTAATGTAATCTGATCTTTGTCATGTTGTCATGTTATGTTTTTCAATCAACATGGAATGTGCAATTTTTCTAGTAAGAAAAACGAACAATGTACACTTACATGCAAAGATGATAGACGAATGCTTTCCATCCACGCGGCCTTTCAAGGAAATTGTATACAAATGATTGTGATTTACGATAACGTGGATCATGATGTCTATGTGGACCCGGTTTGATTGGTCTGCCCAATAAGCTGGTTCTTGATACTTCGGATGATGGTCGCGGCGTACAACCAAATGGACCGTGTGACCGGGCATAACGCTCACCGGCCTCTAGTTGACGAAGTTCCAACAGGTCGGCTTCCGGATTACAATAATCAAATGAAGGCAGTTTGAATCAGTGTGGCGGTTATTTATGAACTTGGTTTCGTCAAAAACAATCACTTGAATCAACCAATCAATCAATGTTCAGATTTACTTTGTTATTGAGTGGTATTTTCACTTCACAGAAATCGTCTATAATGTTGACAATAACTTGAGCGTTTCGATTGGCTTTCATTTGATAATTTACAACATAAGGTAAAGTATGATCTGAAAATGAGAAAAATTGATTAGAAATTGAGTCATCAGATATGTCAGTCATCGAGATAAGAGTAATGAATTTAGAGCGAAATTTTGGCGCGCTTCGTTCATTTTCATCGTGGATATGGAAATGCAATAATTGGAATATGCACCTGGCCATAAATTCTATACAATATATACTTGAACCGGTCCATATTCATAGGCGTGTGAGTGTGAGTGTGAGTGTGTTTAGCTATATTTACACCTGGTTCACCAAGATACAACAGCAACAAACAAACACACCTCATAGAGAGACCAAAACATTAACCGTGTTATGAACCAATAAGTTTATTATCGAGACGAAAAATAATGAAAATTTTCTCATTACATCAATAGCTCTTCCGGTGTGTGCGTGTGAGTGTGAGTGAGTGAGTGTTGTAACGAGCTAAAACAATCCTGTAGCAACCAACAGTGGTTGCTAAATGAAAACGAAACAAAAACTACATTACATTGCACACATCAACACTCAACATGAATTTTCTTCTTGTTGCTCTATCGAAAATATCTGTTGTGGAAGGTCGACAATAATAATAATAATGATAATTATTCATGTTCTCTAAATGAACTTGTAATGTAACTTTCTTTTTCATCTTTCATAAATGAGATTGCAAAGACATTTGGACAAATCGATTCCGAAAAAATGAATAAATGAATTTCTGAATATTATTATTATTATTAATTATTGTTATTTTTATTATTGTCATCGAGTTTTGCATTCGATTCTTGATCTATTCATTATCGATTTCCGAACGAACCATTAAATCAATCCATCAACAGCACTACCACAAGAACAAAATTCCATGAAAAGAGATTGATCGATTTTTGTGGATATGAATTCTAGAATTTCTCTTCACAAGATGAATTCTGGTAACCCAAAGGATTAAGTCATAGGAAAAAAACTTTAATATCAAGTAAACATACAAATGAGCGAGATAGAGAAAAAACTAAAAATGACATACCGACGGTGATGATGATAAAAAATGGCATAATTTAATTAGATAAAAAAAGCGCCCACAAGCTTAGAAATGTGAAAATAAAAAATGATGATGATGGTGATGGACACAAATGAATGCATTCTCAGAATTGAAATTTTTTCATATATTCATGATGTGAAAAATAAACATTAAAAATATATATTAAAACAGTATAATAGTATACTCGTATAAGGAGAAAGTTCATTCATTCCAGTATAAATTCATGAAACAAACTGAATAGATTGGTGGATAATTGCTAAAGAATGAGAGAAAAATTGTCTGCTTTATGCTTAATGGCAAGGTTGGTCGACAATATCAATGTTTACTGTACATCATTATTTGTTGTTTGCATTTTATTATTCGACCATTAGGGATTGGATTATTTTCTTCTTTGAGAGCCACCAGTCTAAGTTTATTCAGGAGATGAATTGAGAATTATGACATTGCCATATATGAATCACTTTCACTATGGTTGTGGCTAAAATTAACAGTAACCAACATCATCATCATCATCATCATCATGAGCGTCATGAGCGTCATGTGCATCCATCTGGATTCTTGCTCTGTTTGATCATCTGAACAATATTTGAATCAAACATTGCAAAAAACAAAAAGTGTTTTGATAATTCTGTTACAAAATGGAAAATCAGATGAGTTTTCAGATTTGATCTAATAACTTTTTGTGAAAACCAAATTGATCTACAAAAATAACGTTGTGAAACAAATATAGACAATGTTTGAATTATTGAAATTCTAACAACAACAACGACAAACAAACCGCAAGACAAGTTAAGAATAAAATTTGTGAATCATGAAATGATTTATGTATAGCGTGAGAACGGCAGAAAAGATAACATTTTACGCAATTTTTATTTGGTTTCCTTGTAAGAAAAATTTTGATTTTCAAACACAAACACACACACACACACACATGCACATACGCACGGACAGAATGTATCCAGTGTGTTTTCGTAAAACTAATACAATTAAATATTAGCAGTTTTTTTAGTATCTTTTTTGTTGTTTGCCCGCTCATTTTAACTTTAGAATTCCCAATAATTTTCCTCTTTTTTATTTTCTCACTACTGAATGGGAGACGATTGAAGACCAAGCTTTATGAGTCATTTTAGAGTTGGAGCGATTCATTTCATTTCAATTCTGATTCCTATTTCGGTTCGTTCGTTACGTTGCGAGTAACCAAGGATACATCATTTTTGACATGTGATTTTTTCATTTTTTCTGCTTCACTTTGCTCAAAGTTATATATATATATATGGATCACTAAATAATACAATTCGATTGTTTCAAATTAGTACACTATAGCTATAGCTATATCATCAACTGAAACGACAATCAAAATAAAAATCGACGAAAACCAGAGAAACACACAACACACAACACATTGGGAGTTTGTAATATTCCATGTCTGATGATGATGACAGATCTTGATGAATCTTGATGAAATGTCTATCGCACAGTGTATCAGTATGGTGGTGATTCGTTTGTCTGCAGACTGAAATTCCATAATTTCTTTGCTCCGATCGAATATAATGGTTGAAAGGGAAAGTTTAAGAAAAATTGTAAATTCGTGTCATGGGTTTTGTTTTCTTCTTTTTGGTTGGTATTGGTTGTTATTTTCTATGTTCAAACAGCCAAATTTCGACCAAACAAACATAGAATAATGAAATTTTTTCATCACAACTTTTCATCGTTCACACACGAATTTGAAACTATCAAGAAATTCTTTTGTGTGTAGAGAAAAACTTGACATCCATAAAAATTGTGTCGGAAAAGAATAAAATTTTCCAATGTTTTTTGTGACAGCTTTAGAATCATGTGCGTGACTTGTTGAATTATCTATCCACTCTACTTGGTTTGATTTTTGTTTGTTTGTTTGTTTGTTTAAACGTTCGTTAGTTGATTGGACAAATAAAATTCTCTCAATTGCCGGGTAACAAATTTTTCTATTTTTACATTCATTCAGTTTTGAATAAATTTTTTACTCTTTTCAATTCTGTGACGTTGGTAATGATGATGATAGTGGAGAGAAAAAAGGGCAATGATTTTTCTTCAATCAAAAGCAAATATTGAAAATGGCAAATTCTCGCCTCTCATCAAAAGAATTTATTAGGATTCTGAATTGAATAAAGGTAAAACTGAATGGCCATAGTGCAATCATCACCATGAAGATAATGGTGATTGTCACTCAATTTAGCCATTCGAAAATAAGCAAAGAAATCAAGATGAAAATGATTAGCCAATTGAAAGCATTGTTGTTATAAAATAATTGTTGACAAGCACGAATTCGATTTGTGAAAAAATCAACAACAACATTTTTCTGAAACAATAGAATTCAAAGGTTTCACGAATTGATTCAATAAAAATTCACTTTGGTTTCATTTCTACATATATAATGATCATAATGCCATTCAAAAGATTTCAGAGTGCATACATTGCCCATTGCATTCACGTGAAATTTTCCGAATCAAAAAAGGCAAAAATAACATGATTAGGATTGTGAAAATGTCAGCGACGTTTTAGTCAAAATATCTCACTTGGTGTTTGCTTTTCAAACATTCATGAAACTTGGCAATAAACAATGAAAATTTCAAGGAAACCCGAAATGAATCGAATGACGAATGTAGAAAATGTCCAACAAGAAAATAAAAATGAACTTGTCAGTCAAATTTATTATTATTCTCATAATCAATACGTCTATATCCTTGTTTCCTAGTTTTTCAGTTACGAAACTAAATGGCTAAATATAGAACTAGTTGAATGAGCGAGATGAAATAAAAATGCAAAAATAAAAATTCTGTCGATATTATGGCTGATGATAACGATAATACTAATACTAATACTAATACTAATACTAATAATCTTGCGCAAAATGAATTTTCCGTCTATCAAATTAAACACAAAAAATGAGGAAAGAAAAAAATTGCTGTCAATAGGAATTATTTCTAATGAATCTCATTCACACAGTGCGTGTGTGTCATGATTTCATTGTTTAATTAATGAATAATTATGGCTGCAAAAATTGCACAATCTCTCAATCTTGCAAATTCATTTATCATTGTCATTCCTTTTTAATTGATTCTAAATTGATGGTTCGTGCATCATGAATATTCATATAGTCACATTTAAGAGAATTGACCAGAGAACATAAAACGAAGCTCATCATTTTCACATAGAAAAAAGATTTATATGTAATATACACATATCGAATAGAATGATTAAAGTTCAGTTGTGACAAAAAAAAATTCCATTTGATGATGATGTTCAAGCTATTATCATCATCATTTTCATCAGAACTATAAAGTGAGAAAAATCTTTCAAACGAGCGAGGGTGGAAAAACCTCCGGTCGAGTCCGTAACAATTTGGCTAATGAATTAATGGAAAATGTTGAAAAGGAAATCAAATCATTTATCCAATGTCAACCATTATCATAATTATTATGACGCATCAATTTTCGTGATGAATGAATGAACAGAATGGAAAAATTCAAGTTTATCAAGTGATATCATTTCAATAATGTGTAATGTATATTTTTAAAATATTCAATCCAATTTGATTGAAATTGATTCAAATTCTTCAATCAACATATTCCATGTAATTATCTGACTCAGATAACCAAAGAAATTCGATATACCAGAATTTCGTATGAAAAAAACAAGGCAAACACAATACACAATACTTTCGACGAACATGTTTGAAATTAGTATTATTTTCTCTCTTATGTTTCATCGCAATCATCGACATGGTCGGCCTAATTTTTTTTGATAATTTTGGTGTCATTCATGTATTTGTTCAATCTAAAGTTACACCCAAATTCATTCTGATCATACTGCTAGCTAATATCTGTCTTTATGAAATAAAATAAATGTCATATATCAATTTATATATGTCGTGGCTAAAGATTAATTCATCTTGAGCCAAATGAAATCAACGAGAAATTCAGAAAAAAAGAAGCTTGAATAATCAACATGATGGCACTGGAATTTCCAGAATCCAGAAACAAAAAATTTCAGAAATCAAACACATAGAATCAATATGATGATAATTATCAATATTTTATCGTTATTTTTACGGATTCTCTTTTTTCGAATTCTGGTCACTGGTGAACAAAGGAGAGCGCTTCAAGAATACAGAATGTCGAAACATGACATCATCTACAGCAAGTAAAAACAAAGTAAATAAAAACGGATCGATACAAAAATGATGAGAAACGAAACTCAATTTCTTCTTTTTTTCCTTCAATTGTCCCAAAGGAAACCTTAAATCGACAACCACCGCCACCACAATCATAAATAAACCCATTTCGAATGTTTGAAATGATAAAACAAACGATGTTAATATAAAATCCACTCAGACAAATAAAATTTGCCGCATACAAACTCACATACATGCATGCAAAACAGATGGAAACAAAAAGTAACGATAATCCAGCAATAATTGGACCATCTTTTCAAGTCTTTGGATTCTGTCTGTCTGTGTGTGTGTGTGTGTGTGAATTTTGCAATTTTGAACCACTATAGTCGTTATTATTGTTATTATTATTATGATTATCATCAAACACATTGAATACAAATGAGATTTTTATTTTTATTTTGCTTTTTTTCATTTCAAGTTAGGTGTTATCGTTATGCGCTATAGGTTAAAAGTGAATCTAGTAAATTGGTTTTCTTCTCTTTTTTAATCATTTTGAATGATGAAAAAAATCCTCTAGTTAACAACAATAGGATGAGGGCATAGATGAAAGCAAAAAGTGAAATTACCTCCGAGCAAAACAAACGATGATGTGAAATCACATTTACGTGTGAGTGTGTGTGGGAGAGATTTTTCTTTTTGTCGTTTTTTTGCTTTCTAAATTCTCGGATGATCGGATTGCAGATCGAATGAAGATGCGAATGTATAAATTTTTGAAAATTGAAAAATTTCACTGTGGTGCAAATGTGTGGAAGAAGAAAGAAGATAAAGAGTGTTTTCGTTGATCAATTAATTGTCACAATTGTCAATGAATGATTCGATGCAAAACGATGGTCGGCATTCATTCATATGGTCAATCATTTTCGATAACCGTTTGTTACGGGACACTCAAGGGAACGATTGTCATTCTCGCAATTCATAACGGCACAAAAATTGAAACAAACAAAAATGAATCAGTTCATCATCACCGAAAATGTCAGTTATTCAAAACATCCGAATCATTTAAATGTTAAAACATTGATTGACAACCAATGGAAAACAAAATTATGCCATGCAATCAAATGATGATGGTGATTAGATTTACCCTTTCGATTCTCATGGCAAGTCAAGTTTTTAAGAATACAAATCTATAGCATGACAAACATGTTAATTCATTGATTTTTTCATTTAAAAAAATGTTATCGTTTTCTTCCGATAAGATCAAAGTTACGTGCTCAATTCATCGTTTTTTCACCAGTTTAGCATCACTTACTTTGGTGTTGATTCGAGTTACTCTGCAGTCGTTTCATTTGATTGATTGTGAATAAAATTGGCAAGATCAAATTTCCATTTACTTTCACTTTGGTTGAATTTTTTTCTCGAAAATAGAATTTCGCTGGAAATAGATGAATATCAAAAAAATAGACAAGTATTGTATGCTGTAATCAATCACACCAAACATAATGTGCAAAAACAGATGTGGGATTATTAATTTACACCTTGAATGTTTGCAAAGAAAAAAAAATCAAACAAAACAAAAGACAAGAGACAATGTACAATGTAATGAATGAACAACACACGATGATTGAGAATACTACTGAATCAGATCTGATGAATCTGAATGAAAACAAGCGAAGATAAAGACAATATTTATTATTCGAACGTTTTTTTTCACGAAAAAACACAAATCATACGACCCAGCAATAATAATCATAATCATAACAATATATAACACGGACATACAACACACAAACACATTACATATGGGTAGCCGGATGGCCTGTTACACACACACACATCAAACACAGAAACAGAAACAGAAACAGAAACACAGACAGAAACACGAAGAATAAAAATAGAAGCCAAACTAAGAAAGAATGAAAAAAGTATATCTAAGAAGAATCGGTAACAACAACAACCGCCACCACCACCACCCACTACCAAGAAGTGCTAGAATATAGTGAAAAAAATTGGTACAACCATTCAACGAACCCGAGAACGAAATAGAAAACGAAAAATTTGGCCACTATTTTCTCCCGTTTACGTATATTTTCATGAGAACCATTGTCGATTTTTTGTCGTCGAAAATGTCGATCGTAATTTTACGTTAGTCGGTTTTTCTTTTTGCTTGTCGATAGTCAAATTAAAAAACACAAAAAGTGGATCATTTCTTTTTTTCCACCATTGAATGTTTTGGTGTTTTTTCTGTTTTCGTAGTAGCTGTAGTTGACTGTTGGTTGTCGTGGATCGTTGTTTTCGTACAGTTTATCGGTTTATTCAAGTTTCAGGTCGCCCTAAGGTCTGACAAACAGACAGTAAATTTAACGACGTATATGGGGTCCAGTTCTGCGTTGTTGTATATCGTTTCAGGCAGATTCTTGGCACTGAATGCTAAACACACACACACACAATTTAAGAGAAACAACAAGAAGCCAGAAAAAAAAGCAAGAAATGAAAGATGTTGAAACAACAAATAAACGTAGTGAATGGAGAAAAAAAATTACAACAAAAACAAACCGCTGATGATGATGAGGATGAAATTTCATTTACGGTTCGACAAAAAATATCAGATTTTGTATTGCGATCTAACGGATTTTCATTCAATTTATTCGTGGTTAATGGTTACTGGTTACACAGGCTGCTGGCTGTTTTCTATCTGATATCTGTCATGTATACAATGCGCGTATATATAAATGCGTGTGTGTTTTGAGAACGGACGAATTTCGTTTCACAGTTTCATTTCTCCATTTGGATTGTGGTGTATGTACAAGAATAATGAACGCTTAATCTCTGTCACTCATTCAGTCAGTCAGTCAGTCAGTCAGTCAGTAAGTCAGTGATTCAGCGACAGTTTTAATTCACTTAAAAACACAAATACAAAGCAAAAATGGAAAAAATACTTGTATTTCATTCATTGAATCGAATGAATAACAAATGGAAAAATCATCATCAACAGGGGACAAAAAGAAACAAACTTCAATTGATACCTACAATTGATAGTAAGGTAGGAATTTTGCAAATTGTGGATCATTTTTTGTTTTGTAGTTAAAAAGATTCATATATAATTCTATGCTTCTTCCTTGTTTTTTTCTCATTTTTTGGTCCCAGAATAGACATGTGCGTATATCTGTTTGTTTGTAGTATACAAACATGTTTTGATAATGATTGTTGCACAATTCAAGCAAAAAATGGAATGTAATAGAATAGAGTTGCATTAGTCATGTCCATCATTTATGTTTTGTTTGAAAACGGAAACAAAAAAAAATTAAACAGGTTCTGGATTCTCAGGGAATTAGAAAGAGAAAAAATTTGTTCAATGTCAAATCGGTTGTAAAAACGTTTTTGTTTGTTTTAACAATTTCTATAAATCATACTCATGGTTGATAAGTTGAGCAAAATACCGGATGATGATGATGTTTGGAACTTTTATCGAAAAAAATTAAATAAAGACATCCAATGATTTCTAATCCCATTAACTTATGGTTTGTGTTTCATGACACAAAACTGGAGGGCATTGTGTATTGTTTTTTTTGTGGATGAAATAAACAAGTTGACAAAAAATTATTCATACGGATCAAGTTGAACCAGATTTTTTGTGATATTTCAATCAACAACCACCATATTATTAGCAGTTCAAGTGCTTTGAGAAACATATGGATCAGGAATAGGAATTTTTCTCTGCAATGCAATTTCGAAATTAATGTTTCATAAGAGAAAATTTTCAATCATCGACAAAATCGCACATAAATCCATGTGCAATTTGCTCATGGTTGTTATTTTTTAGTTTTAGTCTGCATTTAATCATAGGTCTATTTTTCGTTCATAAAATACTGACATTTATTATAACTTGCAAGAATTTTCTTTCTTTCATCATCTGATAATATTAGGTTTTGAAGAGTTTCTCTCTCTCGAGGGAGAACACAAGGAAACATTTGGCATTAAGTTTTCTTGATAAATTTTTCATACACACTAGGGGTAATTACCATCATTATTCACACGTACATCAAACATAAGAATTTTTCGTTTCGAAAAATTGTCATCATCAAAGAAAATGAGAAAAAAACAATAATTTCGGTCGCTTTCTTACTTGTGGTGTCCTCAAATAATTTTTCGGTTAAAAGAAAACGTCAAGTAAAGTGAATGAATGAGAGAAAAGAGTAAAATATGTTGAAATCAATAATTTTTTTCACACAAAAAGACTACCTAGGCAAGGTTTGACGTATTTGTCAGTTTTTCCGTCACAAAAGAGGAAATATTATTCAAACAAAACTGTCATCACATATATGAATTCAGTCAAAGATTCAGTCAAAGATTATTAATGATGATAATCTCAACAATCTTTCCAAGTAAAGCAATGAGTAGCATTGAAAACAAAGACCAACTGTATTAACTCTATTTCAATGTAATTTGACTTTTTTGTTCGCGATTCCATCATGTGAATTTTTTTTGTGGATCGTAATCAAAAAAACTGAGAACCATCTGTTCCGTTTCTATCATAGAATATATCATGATGAATAAATAAGAAAATGAAAAAAGCAAAAAAGAAAGATGTTCAAACGAATTCGGAATAAAAATGCTATAAATTTTCGAGAATATATCATATATATTCATATTCTTGATTCACAAGAACAGATGGTTCTTGTGAATGGTACACTCTTCTCCCCACATGCGGGTCGTATCATTGATGGAGATGGTGGCAGAAAATGCGATCCAACAACAGAAATACACAAGTTCCATATTGGCATTATTTTTAAAAATTAAAATTAAACGAAAATCATCGACCTAATATCAAGAAGAAAACCAATCAATCAGTAACAAGAAAAAAATGCCAGCGAAAAAATCTCTCTATTAATCAATCGATCATGATGGTGATGAATGCCACAAAATTATCGTGGTTTATAACAATGATAATTCACACAAATGACGTCAATGAATTTTAATACGGATCAACCGGATTGTTGGATTCAATAAAAACAGATGTGCATTATTTACCCGAAGAAAAATAACAATTAATTGCATGATTCGTGGCCCAGACACACACATAAACAATAATGATGAATGATCCAAAATGAATTTTTTAGAGAAACAAAACGAACAAAAAACAATAATGAATAGAAATGAAAAGAGAATTTTAACATTTTAAGATTTAACTCAATTCATTGACGCCCATAATATATGAAAGTTGTACAACGCTCACAATCACATCAAAGCTATTGATTTTCGGATAACTTGCTTGCGAAATGAAAAAGTTTTTTCTTCACATCGATGGCTTCGAAATGAAAATCTCGAAATCATCAATCTTTATTATTATTGTGTCGTTTCTTTCAACAATAAGATACAACGCCAGATCAGGTGGAACAAGTATATCTATTTGATTTTCTTTGTTATTTTTTATTTACTTTTCCATGTTCAAATAAAACTTTAGTCTTTCAATAAGGATTTTATCACTATGAGGTTGTTAGCAGCAGTGTGTGTGTGTGTGTATGAATAATGCACCATTTCACTTTGATACCGCATTCCTGGACTGTATAAATAAACGTAGGTGAAGATAGATTCCAGTACTTCTGGTCGGCTATGTTTATGGAATTTATTTAACATCTTATTGAACAGTAAGCGTGAAAAAAGAGTCGGAGACCATACTTGGTATAGATGAATAATTTATTGGGAAAATAAACATTCCAGAAATAATAATAGTCATTTTTTCCAATTGTATTGATACGTAATCGGACAGAATGAATGCGAAAAGTTTTCCCACGTGATAGGTGTCATATTAAATTGATGCAATTTCAATTGATAATGATGACTGACAAACAACATTCTAGAAATGGATGACTGTGTTTGTCGTCACCTCCAAAAAAATTAGTCGAATGGACAAATTCTAAAAAACTTTTGCGAAATAATTACCGATATACTGACACTACAGAATAATAGTGTGTGTGTTGGCAATACTACTGGAATTGGGATTGATGTGGTATTTTTGTTGCAAACCAAATGACCTAATAATTATGGAAAAATAATGAATTCTTCAGAATTTTGTTACCCTGGAACACAGACATGAAATCAAAAAAAAAAAGAAAAAACAACAAAACAAAAATCGACTTTGGTAAACTTTATTTCTGAAACAAAGCACAATACTCGATGCCTTAAAAAAAGTTAAGCTTTGGATAAAAAATTTCAATTTTTTTATTTTCTTTTTTGCAAAAAGTTTTCGCACACACACACACACACACATTCATTATCTAGTATATTGCAACACCGTTTATATTAGATACAAAAATAATTATGGATCAATTCGAGACCTACACAATGATGATGATTGTTATTATTATGTTCACACAGCAGCCAGAAACCAAATCGAATAAATAAGTTTCATTCGTCAACAACAACAACAACAACAAAAAAACAGAATGATGATAATTGTTTACAGTGTGTGGATTGGCTTTGCCGTAACACGTCGAAAGAAAAAGTTGAAAACAAAAACAATTACTGAAATTAACAATAAAAAACCATTCCACGCTGAATAATGTAATCATGAAAAGAGCAATTTTTGAAATTGAAATAAAAACAAAAAACATTGTCATTTCCATTTCCATTTCCATTATTATTATTATTATTATAGCCCAAATTGAATCACAAAAAACACCTGTGATAGAGTAACACACATGATTGTTTGGGATTATTATTTGGGCAAAAAATAAAAAATAAATGAGATCCAGCATTCTGTAGGGTTTCATTTTCTCACACACATCAAACAATAACGGCAAAACAGCTTCAAAACAAAAACTGACGAAAAATAAAAAAGCCCACAATTTCTGTTTAGAAAATATCACAAAAATGAACGAAATTGATTAGAAAGAAAAATTTCAGACTCATGTTCAATCAGTGTTGCCATGTTTTTTTTAAACAAAATTAAAGTTTGAACATTGAACATTTACAAAGAAATTCATATAAATAAATGACATATAATCATCGTCATCATTGGAATTTAGCTTATAGTTGCATGTTGAAAATTTTTTTATTGAACCCATAATCATAGTGTTTTTTCAGAAAAATTCTTTTCATTAAATAGTGGATGGATGTTGACAACACAATAATTCTTCAACCAATGTATTGCGAAAGAAATGGGCATTTTCAAATTTGAATTTTTATTATGCTTCAAAAAATGAGCCAATGGATAACTATTTTGCAACATGGTGTTTGCTGTTTTTTTTGTCCATCATTTCCCATTCGAGCAGTACCAATTTGACCAAATTCCCTCTTTCTCTCTCTCTCTCTCCTTGATCAATCATTCAATTTTTTTCCGGTATTGTCAACAATCAACATTGAATTCAACATTACAAGGTATTTTCAGATATCAATCGAAATGTTTTTATTACAACGTCAAATTGATATTGACATTGATATGATATGATCGTCATCAATAGGAAATTGCGTGCTACACATTCGATGACAATCATGATTTAGTTACATTCAACAATGCCATAGTTTTTTCTTCCATTCAACCTTGTTATACTACAAATGATGGATCTCATAGTTTTTTGGATAACCAATTTTAATCAAATGAAAGGGAATGATTATAATTATGATCATCATCATCATCATCATTTGTGGATTGTTGAGAAATGATGTTGTTATCATGCCAAATATTCCGTTTTGGAAAACATGTTTTGGTCCCAGTGTGTGCGTCCATACAATTCTGATAATTACAATTGCCTGTTCTATTATTCTATTCTAATACTTGACTACCCACATATGAAACTTTACACAAACAAACAAACCGACGAAAAAACATTTAACATTGTTGTTGTTAAAGATAATGAAAAATTTCAATTCGGAAAATGGAAAACATTACTAATCATTGGAAAGAAATATAAATTACTTACTGCCAAAATAATCAATTCGATCCATAACAAATAGATGGCAGCATATTGATCGTGTTTTTTCTCTTTTCAAATTCTTCATCATCATCATTTGAATTAAATTTACCGCCAAAATATTACAAACTCACTTTCGATTATGACTACTAACCACATCATCCTTATCATCAGTATCAATCAAATTTGATTTGTAATCAATTTATAAGGGAAAAAAATTATTCAAAACAATGAAATACAAGTAGACATGATTATATTAATATTAAATTAAATGTGGTTATAATTATAATTATTGGATTTTCCAAGAAACACTTTTATATTCAGATAATACATTTCTGGGTTGAAATGGGAAGAATGTGGAAATAGTCGAGCTTTCATGCGTGCGCAGCTGACTTACTGCTTGTTTCATTGATGAAGAAAACGACAAAAAGAGTTTCGAACTATTTTTCCGATCTGGATAAATTGATCAAAAAAGGAAACAAAATATCCGTAATAACAAGTGGGAAATGGTTTCGAGACGGATCAAAAAAAAAGAGAAACTGAAAATCTGGATTGGTTGAGTTGACTTTTTTGACAACTACACACTGTGTATATCCTCGAACTTAAATTTTTGCCTTGCAGTGTTGATTGATTTCAATGCTTTTTCTTCTCTCATCCTTCAACAAATTCATTTCGTTGGGACCTCGTCATTTCGTTATCAATGAATGATGATGAGCATGAGAGAGAAGCATGAAGAAAAAAAAATTGAATCAACAAAGAGAGCCTTGGTTCATCATCATCATCATCATCATGTACAATGATACAGGATCAAGACTGATCAATGATAACATATATTTGCAATATGACGATCAAAAAATGAATGGAAATATATCTCGATGAACATGGACAAACATCCAACAAAAACAGAAAAAACAATGCTTTAATATGATAATTTGATGCATCGTCACACAACAATAACCTGGCAATGAACAGGTTCAATGAAAATGATTTTTGTTCTTCTCATTAACATTGTTTTATACAACCATGATTGTGTTGTTTTTTTCCCAAAACATTTTTTTGGGGTTTCTGGTCTAAAATGCTGCGTTTTTCACTTTTCATTGAAACATCATCATCATCATCATCATCATCGTTATCATTGATAACATGTTTTCATAATCGACACATTGTAATGTATTGACTCAATGTAACGATAATCATCATCATCATCAGTTTTGGAGGGTGTTATTATTATTATTATTCTCATGATGATGATGGATCATGAGAATGATATTGCAAATCAATGGTAATCAACTATAACAAATCTGATCAGTGATCACAATACCACCATGATCATTGAGAGAACTTGTGTTTAATGATATTGATGGTCATCGAAATTTAATTTTAATTTTAATTTCTCCACTTTCATTCATTCATTCATTTTGACAGAAAAGCCACCTCTCAGATATTGGTGGATAAAATACAATATTTTCATTTTTTTCTAGCCATAAAATGGCAGTGATAATTCACCATAATCATCATGTGTTTGTCATCATCGTTGATGAAGAAAATTCGGGTTTAACCATTTGATTATAGAAAAAAATTTAATTTTCATCATCATCATCGTTGTTATTGTTTTTTTTTTTTTATTTTCACTCGTTTTTTTAAAACAAAAATATTAGTTTTTTAAAAACATTTGCAAATCAACCGAGCTATATAGAATTACAATCGCAATTTCATTTCATTTTACATAAACACAACGCATAAATCTGAAGTTGATATCATCAAAGATATTGTTCGATTCGAGTTATCAATCAAGATATGGCCATTCAATAGTGTATTGTATTCATGAGCTCAAAACTACGATCGTTGTCCTTTTTTTCACACATTTCTGTCGTCACATCAAATTGGAAAATAAACAACGAAATCATCAACATTTCAGTCTAAATTGTCACCATTCAAAAATCGAATGATTTCAATTCATTTTTGTTCTTTGCTCGTCCAGCAATTTGATTTGATTTGATTTTGAACATTACATTTGCACACCAGCAAAAATCCGAAATTAGCAGAAATGTTACCATTGAAGAAAAGTTTGGTCATGTTATCGATTCTTGTGTCATTAATAATCATAATTGATTATAATGTTCAAGGTATGATTGTACCTGGTCATGATAATTCGGTCAATGGATGGACGTTGAGTAATGTGACGACAACAAATTCACTAAAAGTGAGTCATTCACACTCTCCTTTACATGATCATACGCTTTTCAGTACCATTCATATGTTGCGCTTTTTAAATCCAAAATTATTAGTTAAAGTGAGTTGACAAATCCATATCCATCCATATCCATAATCCATATTAATAACAATGTAGATTTGCATAATAATCATTGCATTACCCGGTTGTCATCATTTTAATTTTCGTAATTTTTCTTCTCTTATAATTTGCTTTGCCATATAAAACCCATATACCACCCCCACTTTAACAATCGCTTCTGGTACTTCTTCTTGCAAACAAATGCATTGATGTGAATAATTCTTTCAGGAATACAATACAGCAATGAGAGGTAAAGCATCATGGCTTACATGTCAAGTTTGTTCAGCTGCTGTTGGATTGATACGTTTATATCCAAGTCTTTCGACCGTACAGACAATATTTATCAATGTTTGTTCGTTAGGCTACGAAGAATATCGAGTTTGTGAAGGTCTAAGCCAATTGTTTGGTGAAGAATTAATCTACATTTTAATACATTCAACATTATCACATTCAGAAGTTTGCGGTCTTGTTATTGGTACAAGTTGTATGCCAAATAGTGCACGATATCCATATAGTGATAAATGGAAATTACCACTTTTACCATTGTCCAATGATGTTACCAATGTTCTTCTAGGTATTTCAGTTCATTCAAATCATTGGAATAAATCCTTTTCCATTTATAACGATTTTTTCGTTTCTCAAACAGATCTCGAACATCGACAAAAGTGGCGAGAAGAAAATGCATTGCAAGTTGAGCAAAATGTATCCACAATTCTTCATTTGTCCGATCTACATTTGGATATTTATTATCAACCGAATGCACCAGCTGCATGTAGTGAACCATTATGTTGTCGCGCAACAAGCACGGCCAATAAACGAAGCCATGCCGCTGGTATGTGGGGCAGTATGGACAATTGTGATTCAGTACTTCGAACTATTGAAAATCTTCTGGCAACAATCTCACAACATCATTCGGATCAATATCGTTATCTATTGTTGACCGGTGATTACATACCACATGATATTTGGAATACAACCAAAGATGAAATTGTCCATACAACACGAACATTCAATGCATTGATCAAGAAACATGTTCCCAGTGATAAAATTATCATACCCGTGATTGGTAATCATGAATCACATCCAGTGGATCAATTTTGTCCAGAAGATCTGAACAGACAATTTTCAAGTCAATGGCTTTATGAAGAATTATTACAACAATGGAAACAATGGATACCATCCGAATATCATGAAACATTTCGCCAATTTGGTTATTATGCTGTAGTCGACGGCAAGGCACGTTTCATTGTTATGAATATGAATTATTGTGCTCGACTCAATTTTTGGAATGTATTGCGCTATCTGGATATGGGTGATATGTTACATTGGATACAACGAGAATTGCAGAATGCCACATTAGCCGGTCAATACGTATATCTTGTTGGTCACATTGCACCGGATGAAGATGAATGTTTCACACATTGGGTTGTCACATATCGCAATATCATTGAAACATATAAGAATATCATTCGTGGACAATTTTTCGGCCACACACATCTAGATGAAATACGTATTTATTATTCAAATCAACCAAATGATCCAGAGCCTATTGGGGTTGCCTATCTAGCGCCAAGTGTAACTACTTATCTAAATGTAATGCCATCATTCCGTTTCTATTCAACGGACCCTGAAAATGGTCAACTCATCGATCATATGACATATTATCTGAATCTAACCAAAGCAAACATGGACGATAAACAATTCAAACCATTCGAAAAATATGAACCAATTTGGGATTTTGAATATAATGCACGTGACTCATATAATATGACATCATTGTCGCCAAAATCATGGCACCAATTTATTGAACAAGTTTTAGTGAATCCTATTTATCTACGGCGATATTATCAACATTATGGCCGTTATAATCATGATCAAACGGATACAAAATCAATTTCATCAATGATTAATGTGATCGATAAAGTTTTTGTTCGTGTTTAAAATATCTCGCTCACTCACTCATGTTTTTCTCTCATTCATCAAATTTTCAAATTTCTCTTTCACTTTTTTGTTTTTATAAATCTAAGCAATAATAAATGATGATGATCAAATTCAACTCTTGCAATGACCTTGCAAAGATGTGGGCAACAAATCATCCAATTTCTATTATCATGTGGTTTCTCTTTTTCTTGGTCAGATTTGAATCAATTTAATTTAATTTAATTTAGTTGGGAATTTCATACAAAAAGTCATAATTCATTTCCAGCTGATTCATGCATAGTATATAAGATTGTTAATGTAGAAAAAAATCCAACCTACTATTCCAACGAATTGCCAATTATCCATGATGATCAAAGTTGATGAGATTGCAACACAATTAGGATAAACAAGAAATACGAATAACTGCTCACAATCAATATATGAAATCATTTGTTATATTAAATCAATTAGTGCCATCGTTGCTCAACATTGTTATATGTAAAATGAAACAATTCTTCAATAAAAAAAACACACAAAACTTGATTGGAACGAAAACACATTTGAATTGAAGGGAAAATGGATTAGTCAATAGAAGAACTTTTGGCTACTTTCATCATAGTTGAACAGTCATTGATTATTCATTACCTCATCATTGTTGTTATCATCATCATAAACACATGAATCCATTCGCGATCAGCTAGCGACATCTGTCAATCACAATCACAATTAGATTGTGAATTCAGGGACATTTTTTGTTTCTTTTATTTTTTATTTTCTTTATTATTATTATTATTTTATACAAATCAAAAACAATGAAAGTAAACAAAGGTGTCTTAGTAGTGATGTGATTTAGTAGTGATATTAATTCTTGTCTTGTGAAAACAAAAGAAAATGACAAACAATGAAATCAATGGATACGGTAATGATAATAATGATGAATGAATGAATGAATGAATGAATGGATGCTACGAACATTGCAAACAAAATACACGACTATTGATTGATTGGAAAAAGAATCAGGTTTTAACACAATTTAAAAATGAAAATGCATTTACATACATTCATAATAGTGGCATGGCATAACACTGCACTTTGAAATTGAACAATAAATTATTTGTGTGTTAGGGACACATTCATCATATTTCAAACAAGATTATCAAGAAACATTAAAATATAGCAGACAATCAATAATCAATAATCAATAATCAATAATCAATAATCAATAATTAGTAATCAGTAATCAGTAATCCAATAATACTAAAATTAGCTACGATAAACATAAATAACCAATGATGATTGAGAATATATTGAAATTATGTAACGTATGGGGAATGAATATAGTGAATTTAGTGAATATAATGTTGTGTTGTGTTATGTTATGTTATGTTATGTTGTTGAATTTCTCAATTTGTTATCATCAATTTCGTTTTGTGTTTTAAATATTTGGCACCGGCTATTTTTCAGTTTTGAAATTTTCAGGCAATTCGTCTCCAACCCTCCCAATTTGATTATTGAGGCAGTAATAATTGCTCTAATTGTTGTGGCAGCATCAATGCTGATGTGGGTGGATGTGGATGTTGTGTGGTCGATGATAGTGGTGGTGGTGGTGCTGGTACTGGCAATAAACCATTATGATTTAGTACAGAATTGTTATTGTTTCCATTAATCGAGGATGATGATGATGATTGACGAAGATTAGCAGTATGGTTATGATTATGGTTACCATTGTTATTATTTGATTGTTGCAATATATGTTGAGCGTCACGATGACGACGAAGATCAACTTTACGTTGAAATGCACGCGGACATAGATCACAAACGAATGGCTTGTAACCGGTATGTTTACGGGCATGTGTTATTAGATTTGATGATTGTGAAAATGCTTTACCGCATACATTGCACTTGTGGGGCTTCTCTCCGGTATGAATATAAGTATGTTTTTTCATGTCCGATTTTTGATGAAATCTTTTTCCTACATTTTTCCAATCAATACATCATTTCAATTATTCAATGAAAATAACACTTGCACTTAATAACTTACCACAATACATGCATGGAAATGGTCTTGTATCTGAATGGATCAACATATGTGTGGATAATGTTGATGAACGTTTAAATTGTTTTCCACATTGCTTACATTCAAATGTACGATCCGTGCCGCTAGATGACGATATTGTTCCATTATTATCATGATGATGGTGATGATGACTATTTAGTAGTGATAATGATAATTTATGGCCTGTATGATTATGGTTCGATTTCACTGTTGTTCCAGCGGTCGATGTTACAGCGGCAGCGGCAGCAGCAGCGGCAGCAGCCATTAAATGATTATTATCGACCAAATTCAACAATGAATTTCGTGCTGCTGCTGCTGCTGCTGTAGAAACATTGGCCGATGATGTATTGAATGATGAGGATGGAACTGTTGCAACCAAGGAAGAGAACATATCGCCGGAAGGAAATAATGAACGTAATAAGGTTTTTTGTTGTTCATTATTGAATGAATATCCACCATTTTTAGGCTGTAGATAGGCTGTTGATGCAGATGTTGATGTCGTATTCTGTGATTGTGGGTGATTATTGTCAGCCAAATGTGATAGAATGAATGAACGAGAACGATTCAATTGCGATTCGAATGCATTTGTATCATTTGAATGATGATGTTGATGATGGTGATGATTTTCTTTTGAATCTTTTGTTGAACCAATTGTTTGTTGCTGACCATGTCCAGCAGCCGCAGCTGCAGCAGTAGTTACAGCTGAATACAGGAATGGATTAGCATAGAATGGTGGTGAATTTGGTGGCGTTATCATATTGCTATTGTGGCAAATTTGTTGATATAAATTCGTTGTACCAGCCGAATGTTTTAACAATAATTCAGCTACTGTTTGATCTGAAAACGCATGTTGACTTTGATGCGGATGTTTGCCATCATCATTATCAGACGAATTATTAGTGGACAAATTCATTGGTTTCATTTCCTCATCTTCAACCACATCGATAATCGGCTCATCATCATCATCATCATTAACATCTTGGACATTATCATCTTCTAACCGTTCGGATGTAATCGAATTGGTACGACTACTATTCAATGATGATTGTCGTTGTCGTCGTCGTTGTTGTCGTTGTAATGATTCATTATCATTGAATTTTTGATTCATATCAATCATATCTTGATCATGATGGTTATTTATCTGCAAAAATCCATTCAATATTAATGTCGATGATGATGATGGTGGTGAACCAATCAATGATGCTGATGATGATGATGTAGTGGATGATGATTGTATTGGTGATTGGCAACGATCACTACCGCCGATACCATTCAACACGGATAATGAAGATGTGGATGATGATGGAGATATGGATGATGAGAATGATAATGGTGATGAAGAAACCAAGGAATATTCTTCCAAACCATCACTGTTTGTATTGTTTCTATTATTCTGTTTATTTGAAATCAATCGATTTGATCGATTTTTGATCGATATTTTTGATGCTGCTGATGATGCTGATGATGATGACAATATTGAATTGATGGAGTAATCTGAAATTGGTTTCTTATTATTGTCATTGATAATTGATTTTGTTGTTCGTTTATTTCTATGATTATTTATCATTGATTTCTTTTCATTTAAATCATTCGATTTATGATTATTATCATGATGACCATTCATGTTCATTAATGTAGATGATGATGTCGGTGATTTTGGACTTAGTAAATTTCCCAATCCCAATGATGCTTGCAGATTCTGCTGCATTAGTGTGGATGATGATGATGATGATCCGGCAAATAATGATCCATATGCAGCAGCAAATGCTAAAGGATCCATCATTGGACTTATCATTAAACCGGAACCAGCCGGTGGTAATCCAATCATTAATTCATTGCCATTATGATGATTAGCTGAATTTGTTAACGACGAATGATGGTGACTATTTGAATTACCATTTGGCCAATTTGAAACCGCTGCCATTGTTGATGAATAATTTGCCAACAAACTTGGCATGTCTATTGTTGGAACTGACACTGATGATGATGAAGATGACGATTCAGAAAACGATGATGATGATGATAATGATGATGATGATGAATTATTCGATTGGAATGAATGTTTTAATGATTTTTGTTGATTACCACCGGCAAAGTTTAGATTGAAAAATTGATTCAATTGATTTAGATCCGGTGCAAAATTTCGTTGATGAATATTATTCCTATCTGAACGAAATGAAATGTTACGAATCACGTTATTGAATGTCGATTTAGGGGATGAGGAATTTGAATTTTCATTCGATGATGATGGGATTTGTAATCCACAATCGGAGGAAACTTGAGTCAAAATTTCTAGAAATCAAATGAAAAAAAAGAAAAGAAACCAGGATACCGCGTTAGTGACAAAGTGAAAATCAAACATCAAAAATCAAAGGTAAATGTATCAAAAATCACTGCAATAATTTGTGGGATAAACACTGAAAATCAGTGTGAAAAATTGTGGCAAAGTGGCTTTTTTATTACCGTTCAAATGAAATAGGGATGTATCATAAAATCAAATACACTCACTCATAGGCAACAAAAGAAATATTGAATCGATGAAATAAAAAAATTAATTTTCTCCATTTCAGTGCACATTCAGTGTGTGTGTGTGTTTATTACAGCGAGGCTTGAATTGAAATGACAATTCCATTGACACATACACACACACACACACGAGAAACAATGAAAATGTTATTTATCCATTTTCTTGACAATAAAATAAAATCTAAATACACCCTCACACACTTACTAATTATTATCACTAAACTTACACACGCGCCTAGGTAAATAAAATATAAAATAAAATTGATATATATATGTAGGTGTACATAGGTGTGTGTGTGTGTGTGTGTTTGTGCAGTTGAGATAAGAAATTGAATGAATCTCAATTTAGAATCTAGAATAGAAACACTTGATTATCACGACAAACGGATTCAATTTTTTTAAGAAAAATCCGATTCAAAAAGAAAACATAAGTTGATTTTCTCACACTTGTAACAATAATAACCACCACCGAGTGATGTACTAATTATAGATTTGAAATATTAAAATATATAAAACAGCAGCTCTTGTTATTATATTGTATTGATTGGTGTTTGCTATTTTAAATTTTACTCATCATCATATTCACATTCAATCTTTTGTTTGCTTGTTTTTGTTTCCGTTTATTCAAATTTTTCATTGTCTTCATCATCATTATCGAATTGAATTAACATTGACAATTGACAAATCACCAAAACAACAAGGATATGATATCTGTGTATGGTTTGAATCAAATGTAAATATTTTAATAACGACAGCATAACGAACAGGAACTGAATTGTATAGGAATAGGATCTTCACTCTGTCATTCACATTACGGAATGTTTTTTGTGTGTTTGAACCCAGAAAAATTATAAACAACAACAATGTTATTCAGGTGTTCAAATACAACAGCAACAACAAGAATTTGCAACAGTGCAAATCGTTTTTTAATCATATTCATCCAAAGTCGAATATTGTGTATTATTAAAAAGAAATGATGGAAAATTATCGATTCGGGTCAACACGGGTTGTAATGTACTGTATTTGATTGATTTTTTTTTTGGTGATGTTTATCGTTCTAACTGGTTGATTCATCTGTCAAATATAGACATAGACAAAGAGGCCAATGAACAACACACAACACACAACACAACAGTTGAGGTATTCAAAAGTCATTGTACGAAAATTGTGCTATCGCCAAACAAATGAGAAACAGAATTCATTTGTGCATTTTGTTATCAATTTTGTCATCATTTTTCATTCATGTGTAATTTTTTCAAAATCAAGTGAACCATGCCGAAAGAAAGCCAAGTCACACCGAACAGGTGTGAGCCCTCATCAAATCAAATGATGATGATGATGATTGTTGATAACAAACATGAAAAATTTACATCACGTTATAATTCACGTGTCTGTTTTTTTTTGTATTCCAATCACATTTACCAGCAATATGCACATATCATTCATACATTCATACATAACGGTCAATCAAGAATGGAAATTCAAAACAAAAACTCAATTGAATTTTCTACCGTTAATCATTCTAATGATATGATGATATGCTTCCCACCATATTTTTATTGTGTGTTGTATTTGTTTTTTTTTTTGAAATTAAATTTGGAATATTCGAGCAATGGCAGAAAAAAACAATTATTTTCAGATTCCTTTTCATTGATCATTACTAGTAGAAAAATGAACTAAACAACCAAAATAATAACAATAACTACGTCGACACAACATTGTGTTTATCTTGTCACCCAAAAAAGGAGAAAATTAACTTTTGAAAGCAAAAACGAAAAGAAATAAAATTTATTTGTTTTAGGATGGTTCCAGAATCTCTGTACATACATCGAAAACGACAATACATACATGTATATGGTTTATGCGGAAATCAAAAACAACAACAACAACAACAACAACGATAAAAAGAAATCTATACTTACAAAGTTTCTTCTTTTCTATTATTGGAATGGAAAATTCGAGTTATGGAAAAGTCGAGACAAATGACCAAAAATATCAGAATTATTGCGAAGGCGAATCACCAAAAAAACAAAACGCTTTGTTTACACTTCATGGTGAAAGTAATGCGATGACAATATTTCATCTGAAAAGTCAACAAATGTGAAATAAGAATATTTTCATACAATGTGCGTAAATGGAATACGAAATAAATGTCACCAGATCAACATGAACAACGAAAAAACAACCGAAATCAAACTCAATGATACATGAGTTGGATCTTTTTCAAAAAAAATCATTGAAATCAGTGAGAGTATTGTATAAAATGATTGAAATCAATCAATCAATCAATCAGTCAGTCTATGAATCAAGCATTTGTTCCATCTTTTTGTATGAGCAAAAACACTCGAGATAGTGGAAATATAAACGGGATTCCAGATTTCTTTGTTCTCCTTATAATTAAATCAAAAAAAAAATGCAATCGAGTCGAAAAAGGTCTTTGATTTTATCTAAAAATAAATCTTGGAAAAAGCTACTGTCTTTAGATCTTGACATTTAATGGGAAGGGCGATTGACAACATCGATCGATGATTATCATAATGTTTAGGCAACAACAAGTAATCAAGTAATCAAGTGATAGAGTTGATCTAAAATTAATTTACAAAATGAAACAAAAACATCAATAAAATACAATCAATAATCAATAAAATACAATCAACATTACAATCGATTGATGGTGAATATCAATAGGAGTATCAATTCAAATCAATCAGATTTTTGACATTGTCATCATCATCACATGAGAGAAAAAATTACTAATTGCGTTCGGCTCATGAGTTTCAGATGTTTTAATCTAAATTATTTTTTCTTTACAGTTTTTTTTGCAATCAATTTCAATACTTTATTTGATTTATTTGATTAGATTTTCAATTTCGCTGCATCGATAATGACGATGATACCAGAATTGATAAATTTTTCATTTTTATTCCTAATAAATTAAGCAGAAAGCAATAAAAAAACTTCATATTAATTTCGTATTCAATGAGTTTAATTTTATTTATTGGAAATCGAGAAATGGCGAAAAAAGATCACTTATTGATGATAACTCGCTATGATCCATACATGCACACACTCACTGAAAATACAGTTGTAAACATGGCAAATCAATCAACAGATTCAATCATAACATGCCAAGTCATTATCATCAATAATGATGATGAACGGAAAAACGAAGACGAAATTGAAAATAAAAAGTAGTAAGAGAAAATTTCGCAATTTTTGCACTTTAATTTATACGTGAGTTTTTTCTGGAAATTTATCTTGTATTTTTTCCTTTTTTCCACTTTCTGCCAACTCACCACTTTTACCTACATAAACATAAACAGACATTAAGATAACGAAAGTGAAAAGTGCAAAAAGATGAATAAATGAATAAATTCTAATTAATCATTAATCAATAATCATTAAGATATATCTATCTAACTAATCATTTCGTTTTCGATTATTGACTCAATTTAATAATTCTGGTCTGATGATTGAACGAATCATGCATAAAACGAGTGAAAAAAACAAAAACAACACTGGGAATTTGTCGTGATTATTTTTCTGTTCATAATCGATGAAAATAAAATAAACTGGTAAAGATCCAAGTCCTTTGGAAAATGATAATCGTCGAAAAATCAAATCAAAATCCAATCATTGTCAATAAATCGATTATGATGATGATTATGACTAAATAATGTACGATTGAGATTTTTTTTGTGTGTGTGTGATGAAGCTACAAACAATAGAGCAATTTTGTTTCTCCAGACAAAATATAACAATAGTCTAAGAAAGAGAAAAAATTGTTTTTTGTCTTTTTGGACGCCACAAAAGTGGATAACGGCGCCATTTGAAAAATTTGATCAATTATCAAATAATCATCATCGATAATCAATAATAAATCTGGCGACAAGGTGCATCCACCTACAATGAATTTATGGGGCGAAAATAATAATAAAAATGAAACAAAATCCAAACACTGATTGTTGCCTATCGTGTAATAGAGTTATTTGTATTGTGATCTAATTTATTATCATCAGACTTATTATGACAATACAGCCATTCGAAATCAGACAAAGAAAAAATTCATATCACAATCATTACTGCTGTTGTTGTTGTTGTTGTTGTCTCACTAATTTCCATTTTCATTGGACTTTTTTCATTCTTCTAATAACAACAAAGCACAGTAGTTGTTTGACCTTTGTACACATGTAACACCTGGTGTGACCTTTCAAGTATGTGAGTAAATAATCAAAACCAGAAAACAACTTTGCATACAAAGGTAACGTGAGATAAGAATATTGATTTTTTGGATTCAATAAAAAAATGTTGATATTTTTCTACTTACCATTTGTAACCAATTTGGATTTTTGCTGATGAATTTGTTGTTGTTGTTGTAATTGCTTCAATGTTGAATTTGTTGCTGATGATGATGATGATGATGATGATGGCAATTGACCACCATGATTGTAAGATCATTTACCATTTCATTTTAATGTTATGAAAAAATTTATCATCGTTATAATCAGATAGAATAGAAAATCTTTATAAATTTCCGCAGAACAAAACAATTTTTAACACAAAATCAAAGAAAAGTATCAAGAACATCAACCACACACGCATTAACACAGCCGACAACGACAAATACTAAATCGGTTATGCCAAGGAATGAACAATGTTTATATCATTATAAAATGCCGATGATCATGACGATGATGATGATGGTTGTGGGTAATGACGACAATCATTACAGAATGAATTTGGCTGGAATTTGAATTCATTTCGCTTTGCTTTTTGGTTGTTTCGATAATACATTATAGAGAATTCAAGAATATAGAGAATGAAAAGTATAAAGATGAATGATAGGAAAAATCGTAGTAGTCAAGAAACTGTTTGCGTGTGTGTGTGTAGAGAGAGAGAGAGAGAAAATAAAAAAAAACATGAAAGACATTCATAGTGTTGTTGTTATTACACAATGGTGATGATGATACTGAATAGTGAAGAATCACACTTTGAATCACAAACAAGAGAGAGCGGTTAGCAAGTGTGAATCACATACGTCGATACAGAAAAAAGATAGGATCCAAACCAAAACCAGAGCCAAACGAAGAATCAAGAGTTTTTTGAATCATTTTCGGTCATCATCAACATCATCATGAGAAACACACCCGGCATACATACATACATACATACACATACATGATATGAACATCTGGGTTTGTGTATATATGTAAATGGTTGGTGAGAATCATATTTTTTTGCCAATTTCAGAATCCACAAAAAAGATGTGTATCACACTCATATATATTGGCCTTATTTTTATTATAACTGTATCATTTTCTGAAAAAAAAGGGAAGAAGCAAGCAATAACAATGAAATATGTATAAGTAAAATACGTAAATCTAGACAATAAACATGAAATAAAAAGATTAATACACACCAGTTAGGTGTGGCCTATTTTGAATAATAAATAATAGTTATTTGGTGAAGATCCGCCCATGGTTTTTTCGTCTTTACAGTATTCCATTATTTATCATCATCATCTATGACGCGTGTGTAAGTAAAATACAATTGGCAGTTATATATGTGATGTGATGAACAAAACATGGCAAAACACACTTGACTTGATACACACGCGCGTGTATATTTTTTGAAACAGAATTCGTGTGTGTGTGTGTGTGTGTGTGTGAATAAGTAATAACGGAACATTGAATCACTTACCATCACAAATGTGATACAGTTGTTATCTGGATACAATTACAGTTACGTCAAGTTTTATCCAAAGAAAGTTTCTGAGATGAATATTTCTCTATATTATCGATGAATCGATGAAAAGGATGAAAAGATGATTCAAAATCATTTTCGATTTTGTTTGATTGCAATCGATGATTGATTGGTAAAGATTTGATTCATTCATGCTGGATTCATTAGACATTCGTAATATAACATTATTGTTTGAGACATATTTGTGTCTTGTTGTTTAAAAACGATGAAGAACGATGTTATGATTATACCACTCATTATTGGTTTTCAATCGATTGACCTGAATGATTTAGTGAAAAAGCATATATATAGATTATAGATTATAGATTAATATGTTTGGCAATTGGCGATTGTAAACATGTATGAACAAAATACGTATTACACGTTTGATTAACTATGCGTTAAAATTTTATTCAAGAATCTCGAATAATCATCATTATGATGATGATGATTGAAGACTTTATGATGCAGATGTTTCATGATTCATGATCATTTTACATTCATTTCGTATCATTACACCATGTGGTACAAGCCAAAGGATTATTGCCCTCCATCCATTCATTCATACATAGAGGAACACGTGCAAGAACACTAGAAACTAATGATGATGTAACGGTCGAATGAACATTGCTGATGACAATTTTTTACCTACAGATAACAAGAAAGACAGACAGGCAGGTAGATAGCGGTGAGGTTCCACAACAATGATTCAAACCATAATTGTCATTTAGCTGTGCCTGGTGCCAGATATAATGAGATGAAGAGATTTGACCAAAAACAATTCTAATTCAAATTTTAATCACATTCTTGCCACGTGGCCTCATCTCACCTCAAGTGAGATAAATGTACAACACAAATAATGAAGAAAAACTTTGAATCAATGAATGAATGATGCAATCAATGAACAGCATATGGTTGATGTGGTCAATTGTAAAAACATTCGGAATAAATCAATACTACTACATGGGTCGACATTAATTTGTGTGCCGGGGCCATCATCACCGTTATGAATGATGATGATGATGATGATACCATTACCGTAATAACAAAGAAGGCGGCACACACGAGACTAGCACGCGAACTTATTGTTCCATAAAAATAGTGATAGACACATAGACATAGAATCAAAGTCAAATCCTTTTACGATTTATCATTCCGAAAAACCTTACTGTATATACTGCTGTTATATTGACCCCTAAGAGAGAGAGAGATAAGCGGTATTATTTTGCAAATGCAAAAAAAATTCGAATCAAATTAAAAGCTATTTGTTTGTTTGTTTGAAAGAATTTGATAACACACAAATATGGGGATGTATAGCTTCGCTAGCCAGCTGGTGTTTGTGCGCGCGAGAAAAACTCTGAAAAAAAGTCTCAAGAGATGAACAAAAAGAGAAGGACCCCGTAATCATAAAAAAAGTTCATATGTATGTCTAGCATTCAAACTGCAACAACGACAATCGATGGAACAGTAAAAAAAAATACAAATATCAAGAAAGAAAATCCAGGTTCATTGATCATAATAAATGAACAACAAATATAACTTGTGCGTACAAAATATTACAATCACCATATTTGGCCATTTGACCTCAAAAAAATGAAATGAAACTCAATAAAGTCTAGGTTATCAAAATATGACAATGAAAGCAAAATTAGATGAAATAAAACAAAACAAAAACAAGAGGATCATAATAATTAGAGCAATAACAACAAACAAAATCCAGAAATGAATGATTTAGTTTTTTTTCGCTGACATTGACAGCCAATGATGATGATGATGATGATGATGAAAAAAACTGTCTTAATCTATCTGAGAAAAATTCCATTCAAAGAATTTAATCTAAACCTAAATCTAATCTAATAATAATGTTCAATGTTTGACTATAAAACCAAAGACCAATAAACAATAAATAAATTACAACAATAAACCAATCATTATAAGTATAACTATAAATATATTATTATTATTAGTTGGATTCATATATTCAATAAAAAAAAAAATAATAATTTATTGATGATGATGAATATGGCTGTGATCCATTCGATTAACAATATCATCATTAATCAATAAACGGCAATGCAAGTTTGGATTGAAAATAAAAGTTTACTGATGCAATGTGTATATAAATATAATAAATAACTAATCCTCTATGCGTAAACGTGTGTGAGCATAAAGAGATTATGAAGATTTCCAAAATGTTGATCATCATTGATATTACTGATGACATGCAAACAAAAGAAAAGAAAAGAAATATTCTTTTCCTATGTTTGTGGTCATTTGGGCGGCAAAGAAAAGAAAAAGTTTTTCCGTAAAAACGTCAATCTTTGATTCTTTTCCGTAAACATAATGATTGCAGTGGTAATTGGAAAACAAAGTTTCATGAACCAGGATTTCGTTGATGATAATCACACACACACACACACACACACACAGAGAATTGTGGTTTTTCTTCTTTCCAAATCATTTTTTGAATGAATCCTCGTCCAAGTTGAGATTGTGTGAATTATATCGCATGTTGTCATTTATTGTTCTTTTTGTTCGATTGATGATTGGTTTTTCTCTCGCTTGCTAGTTTGCTCCCTTTTTCTGCCTTTTCCATGTGTGATTCTTTTATGAGGATGAATACATTATATACATCAACTACATGAACCGCTTGCGGGTTTTATATGTGGATCGATTTCCATTAATATTGAATCAAATTACGAAAAGTTTTTGTTCTCTCTCCTATCTGCCTGATTGTATTATCCAGTCTAGAATTGAACCAGAACTAAACCAAATCATCAAACACAATTGTTTCCTAACGACAACAACAACGTAAAAAAAGTGTCACACCAAATCGAAATCAAAACAAGTGCAAATTGTCCCAAGATTGTCACTGTCTCGGTGAATGATTTGGTGGTGACAAGAAAAAATCTTTGAAAATGACGATCAACTAATAATAGAGGGGAGTGGTGTTGATGAGAAAAAAATCTCTTGTGAATGAACACACACACACACATACATACATGGAAGAATAATGCCATATGTTCATGTTGTCTATATGTGCGTTTGGCCACAATTCGCTACAATAACATATGAAAATAGAAAAATAGATATAGAATCGGTGATATAATAATAAAACTCCAATTGGTTCATATTTCAAACAAATTCATGCCCCATGAACGGGTTTTATTAACTCAATCATCAATGCATTCATTAATGAGAATTCATCATTTAAGAAAAATTGCATTGGCAATCGAAAAGCAATTTTTGGCCAATTTAGTTTTCCATTCTATCTATGAATATCGACGAATGCAATTAGAAATCGACCAATAACTGATGATGATAAATATAATGAGAATGAGAATCAGTGAAAAAAATGTCATTAGATAATGATGAAACAATGAAACAAGAAAATCATATCGATCCATTGGATCGTATGGTTTTTTTCCATCACCCAAACAAATGTGATCAGTGTCCGTGAATTATCATCATCATAATAATAATGAGAAAATTCTGATTCGATTCGATTGTTATTATTTCTAGTGTTTGGTAGCCGTCGCCATGTGAATCGGGCAAACACAACCCATAACTGATTGATTGGTTTCGAATTTTTTCTCGCTTTCTCTCTTCTTTTTCCTTTGCTCTATTGACATACACGATACACAAAGTGGTTCCAAAAAAAAGTCATTTGCAAAAAATTGACAAATTGACTGGAAATAAAATTCTCTGGAAGTGGATTGTTTGCATGAACAATATGCTTTATATGATTTGATCATCATTTTCATTTATTCAAAATTATTTGCCTTTCTATTGCTTCAATGACGAGATATGGTTGGAAAAAATTTCATTTCCAAAAAGACAAAAAATCTTCGAGACATAATTTCAGTGGAAAGAAAGAAAAAAATTCTGTTGCACGATGCCGAGGTTTTAGAATGAAATGGGAAGATAGTCTGCTCATTTTTCCAATGAATGGTAGTTTATGTATGAATCGTGATCGACGAAAATGAAAATGACTAAAAATATTGCTTAAAAATAATGCCAGAGTTTAAAATGGAATGATAAAGTTACTTGGTTGTCGTCGTATACACGAATGTTTCAAATTAAACAATCAGAACAACAAAAAAAAGACAACTACTACATTCGAGCTGTTTTTGAGCGATGAATCATTGATTCTATGATGATGACATATTTTCTTTAGACAAACAAATTAAATCGTAATTAGAGTTAGATTACTAAATCAATTTTTTTGCCTTGTCTTTTTTCCGGATCATTTTTTCTGCCTTCAAGTTTGGCTCTAAAAACAATGTCACATTGAATTTCGATCACACAAAAATCGTTGTCAACTTTGTTTTCAATTCGACACACAATGCTGCTTGACTAAAGAGTTGATTTTAACTTTTGGTTTATAAAACCGATTGAAATCGATCGAAAACTAGGACCAAAGAATCGTGAATAATTATTATCGTCATG